TCTCATTTTTTGTTTTGGTTAAGTTTAATTTCACTGTAGTTAGTACTTTGTTTTCACGGTTAATTTGAGCGCTACTTTATATTTCTATTATTGGTTAGTACTTTTTGGCGGTTTAATTCCTTTGTTTTATATCTTATGGGAAGACATCGTTTGGCCAAGTTGACAACACTTCATATATTTACCTGTCTGCAATTTAACAACTTTGAAAATTAATATCTTGAATAACAATTCTGTGATTGGAAAGTTTCTTATATATAAGGTATATCTGAATTTACCAGAGATGAAGTGTTAGATGTAACAACTATATACATATATTTTGGTTATTTGTGGAAATGTGCCACTTGCACGATATGTGAGGGCAGTTTTTACATATCCATTATATTTACATATCGTCGTCTGAATAAAATTTACAGAACCCTAGCTTGCAGTTATTTATTAACAAGAGCCCGAAGAAACTGGCTTTTACACTGAATCACATGTTTCCAAAAAAGATTTTGGACGAAAATATATATATTTCAAGAATCAAAAATACTTTTCAGCTGAACTTCGCGGCATGGCAGGCATTGCTGGCTGGTATAACTTCGAAAATGGAAATTACAGAGTGGAACTATTTAGTCTGCAAAACCGACGTGCAGATTGCGGCATCAGTTGTTTGTGATTGCTGCCTAGAGTGGTTACATCAAGGATTTGTATAGTATGCAAATAGTATACAAATCCTTGGTTCCACCAAAAAAGTTTTCAAGTTGTCTTTTAATATATATGTATTTAATTCTTACTTTTCTCAGCATGCATTGGACTGCATTAACGAAACAATAACACAACGTAACCATAGACACAAATATTATTGTTTAGTTCGTAATTAATCGGTTCCTAACCCAGCCTAGCATTCCGGCAATTAAGTGTCCAACGTAACAATAACTTTTTTGTTATTGTTATGTTTTCAACGTAATCGTAGCCAGTGCCTTTTTTAATACTCAACCCGTCTCCATAAAATCCTGATCAGTGGAATGAAAAATTGAAAAGAGGATAACCCACATTACAAATCAGTTCTCACAAAGTGCAGAATCTAAAAATGTAGAAATCCTGCCTCCTTCAACTCTTATATCGTCTACTCTACTTAAAGAGTAACCTTTAACCCTAAAAGTCAAATGTTCATGCCGAGTGTAATCTGGCCAACTATTTAGTTTAAGTTAACTCAGGATATGACATTAAACCAAAGATATTTTGTACCTACAAGATTTGTTTTTGAACAACTTGTTCTTGACCTCTTATCAATTTTGTTTTTGTATATTTTGTTTGTGCACCGATCGACAATAAAAAGGGAGAGGCTGAGATATAAAATATACTTTTATTTAACACTTCAATATAATCATTTGCCGGTCCCTGTCTGAAACCTCATCTGTGGTTGTCATATGTCTCTTAATGTTCGTTATTTATTTGTTAACAAGAGTGCACACGCTGAAATGTCTCGCCTTCTTTACTAACCATTGATTTTATGTTGATAGTCCTAAATACAAAGCTTTACTACAAGTAACACATAAACTTAACATGAACCAAGAAAACGAGGTCAAGGTCAGATAAACCAAACGAGAAATACATGTACACCTTACAATCATTCAATAAACCAAACATAATTGACCTATTGCTTATTGTTTCTAAGAAACAGTCTTAAACAAGAAAACTTAACATTGACCAATGAACCATGAAAATGAGGTCAAGGTAAGATGAACCATGCCAGACAGACATGTACACCTTACAATCAATTTAGGCATTAAATATAGTTGACCTATTATTTATAGTATCTAAGAAACAAACTTAACCATGAAAACTTAACATTGACCAATGAACCATGAAAATGAGGTCAAGGTCAGATGATACCTGCCAGACAGACATTTACACCTTACAATCCTTCCATACATCAAATATAGTTGATCTATTGCTTATAGTTGAAGAGAAACAAACCAAAACACAAAAACTTAACACTGAGAAATGAACTGTGAAAATGAGGTCAAGGTCAAATAAAACCTGTGAGACTGGCATGTATATCATAAAATATTTCCATACACCATTTATAGTTGACCTATTGCATATAGTATTAGAAAAAAAGACCAAAACTCAAAAACTTAACTTTGACCACTGAACCATGAAAATGAGGTCAAGGTCAGATGACACCTACCATTTGGACATGTACACCTTACAATCATTCCATATACCAAATATAGTAGACCTACTGCTTATACTATCTGATATATGGACTTGACCACGAAAACTTAACCTTGTTCACTGATCCATGAAATGAGGTCAAGGTCAAATGAAAGTTGTCTGATGGGCACGAGGACCTTGCAAGGTACTAAATATAGTTATCCTATTACTCATAATAAGAAAGAAATTAACATTACAAAAAATGTTGACTTTTTTTTCAAGTAGTCACTGAACCATGAAAATGAGGTCAAGGACAATGGACATATGACAGACGGAAACTTCGTAACATAAGGCATCTATATACAAAGTATGAAGCATCCAGGTCTTCTAGCTTCTAAAATATAAAGCTTTTAAGAAGTTAGCTAACGTCGCCACCGCCGGATCACTATCCCTATGTCGAGCTTTCTGCGACAAAAGTCGCAGGCTCGACAAAAACCAGACAGGGTTAAGGTATTTGAAGTAATTGGTTTCGATAGTTGATTTACCATTTAGATAGTTTCTGTTTCATTTGTTCACAACATTTAGAGATTGAATAATTTAGAACTTGACATATTGTATAGACATGTATATCTATTGTTGAGGACTCTGTTTGTCTTTTGATTGTTTTGTGTCATTGGGTTGCTGTCTCATAGATATTATGATATTGTAACTATCATGTTTATTTAGTTGGCCTAATTTGTTTTGTGTGGCCTTATAGTTGTTTACATAATAATATTGTAACGGCTGTGCAGTTTAGAAATTACTGGAACAATCATAGAGACTGATGGAATGATTAGAATTTTCTATTTGACTTACATAACGATTCCAGAGTTATCATAATAAAAGATGCGTAATTTAAACTTCTTATATTGTTGTACTAGTTTCCGTTCTACAGTTCTCTAGGAGTTTCCTTTCTACAGTGTTCTAGAAGTTTCCCTGACAATTATATATGCAGACACAAAAGTTAGACTTTCAGATTAGACATTAATATTCTCAGAAGTTCTCTGGAGTTATTTTACATTGACATTTTTATTCACGTTAACTACATCATACTAGATTGTGACCTATTGGACGTAATATTCTGTTTGGATTCCCGCATCAGTGAAGAGAAGAATTCCGGATAAAGAAAAATCAAAGGATCGAACATATATTTTGACAGTTAAGTTGACATTTCTATTAGTGTAATACTTCTTGTAAACTTGTGTATAATAAATCTTGTTAAATTTTATTAATGATTTGTGTCTTTTGTTGGCTACAATTTAAAGGTGATTTCTTGCTATACATCTCTTAATGTTGGTTAGTTGTCTGTTTGTTTGTTTTGTTTGTTTAAAAAAACAGAGGGAGGTTAAGATATTTGAAGTATTAAGTTTTGACAGATGATGGTAACGGATTAATATAAGTTAATTATTCAGTTGTAATTATTATCATGTAAATGCCTAATTGTGTATATTATTCAACTTGAATTTAATTAATAAAATATGTTTACACTAAGACTCGACAGAAAAGGAAATCAAGTATCCTAAGAGTGCCTAACTGCTGGAAATTACCAGCTAGCTACAAAACTACTGTACACAAGTTACAAGATGAAATGGGCAATTATGGTAAAGACTTAACATAAAACTAAATCAAGAATTCTTTCACTAGTAAATGAATGTTAGTCTTAAACGGTCATTTTGATTGTAACATCATCTGAAAAGTCTGAACCTAAAATTGTTAAGTCTTGATAAGACTTTTAGCTATTTTTTGGATATTTTCTTGAGGTAAATTCAGTACTGTTCATAGATTTTGCTTGCAGTCAATTCAGCACTGTTTTTCAGACAATTCAGTGTCGTGTTGTTTGGTACAGGTGAATAACAAGTACTGAACAGTCTGAACATGGCAATTACCAGCTAATTAAAAAAAAAAACTACTGTAGACTAGCTACAAACTGAATTGGGCAAGTTTAATAAAAACTTGATAGAAAACTAAATCAAGTATCCTTTGGCCTACACTGCTGGAAATGTCTAAATGGCTTATAAAATAAGTAGATGTGGTATGAATACCAATGAGACAACTTGTCACCAGAGACTAAATGAAATGGGAGTAAGCAACTATGGGTTTTGGTACGGCTGTCAATAATGAGTAAAAACCCATCAATAGATATATAAGAAGATGTTGTATGAGTGCCAATGAGACAACTCTCCATCCAAGTCAAAATTTATATAAGTAAACCAATATAGGTCAAAGTACGGTCTTCAACACAGAGCCTTGGCTCACACCGAACAGCAAGCTATAAAGGGCCCCAACAAATACTAGTGTAAAACCATTCAAACGGTATAAAAGGCCCTGACATGACAAATGTTAAACAATTCAAACAAGAATACTAACAGCCTGATTTATGTACGAAACAATAAAGGAAGAACAAATATGATATACAGCAATAAAAGATAACCACTGAATTACAGGCTTTAAACTCGGGACAGACACGTGCTGAATGTGGCAGGAATAATTTTTTGCATAAAATTGGCATTTTTTTACCATTGCCATATATGGACACTTACACCCCCATTATCCCAAATTTAACTCTAGATAAGATTACCTGCATTATCATTATCATATAAGCAACTCAATATATATTTCAATATTTTGATCAAATATAGTAATTCATCTGCATAATGTTTGTGATTTTCCCCTTCTGTTCCATTTGATCCCCCCCCCCAAAAAAAAAAAAACAAAGGTGATCTGACTTTCCCTGAAATTAACCTCATTAGGTAACATTAAATAAAAAAGTAACATCAATGTCTGGCTAAGTGACATTCATCAAATTAAACAAACGAATATTTAGCTGACCGAATAACATATTTAATAAACTCTGTACACAACATATAACTTAGCTCTGTACAAAAAGTATAAATATACAACATATAACTTAGCTCTGTACAAAAAGTATAAATATACAACATATAACTTAGCTCTGTACAAAAAGTATATATTTTTGATTATTTCATGTTGAAAATGCATATTCCAGCTGCAAATTAAAAATTTGCAGATATGCATGCATTAAGACAGGATAGAGTATATAAACTTTTGAGCTTCAAACCTGGGTCAGAACCTGTAAAAAAGTTTTACAATTGGTCATGTATTGATAATCATTAACTTAAAGTAAAACTTGATTTAAGCATTTGTAAGAAATAAGTACAGAACTGGTAAAAAAAAACCCAATCAATGGTCGGAGAAGGTATAAATTGACTGTGAGTTTGATCCCACCATGTGGCTGGTGCATTCCACTCCCAACAATCTTATTAGGTATAGAAATAGGAGTTATATGGAGATCTTATCAACCTATTCCTTAATGCCATTAATGGTGACCTATTTTATAAATTGAACTTTTCATGTTTATATACTTACATGAGAACTTTTAGAAAATTTATTTTGTTTTTCTTTGTTGACATATTTGTTTGTTTTTATAGTGATTAAGATTATAACACAATGTTGACTGCTGTACCCCTAATTTTGACATTTTTACCTATCATGTCTGTTTGTTTTGTTCACACATTGTTGTCAATATAATGGAATTTTATGTGACTGTCATACAAGTGAGAGGTTTAGCTAGCTATAAAACTAGGTTTAATCCACCATTTTCTACATAAGGAAATGCCTGTACCAAGTCAGGAATATGACAGTTGTTTTCCATTCGTTTAATCTGTTTGAGCTTTGGATTTTGTCATTTGACAACGGACTTTCCGATTTGAATTTTCCTTGGAGTTCGGTATTTTTGTTATTTTACTTTTTATAACATATAAAATTTGAACACTTGTGTTCTTTAACGCAATGTACCAATTGCAATAACTTACAAATCAAAATTAAAAATCTAGGATAAAAAAATTATAATTCAAATGGAATTATTTAATGAACATGTAATTATAACAGTCTAGTGATTTTCATAAAAGTTCTGTAGACATATATTCCTGAATAATGTATTATCATAATTAAATATTACATAACAAGAAATGATTGTAACAGGATGCTGTTATGAAGTCTCCCAAACGAAGCTCCCATAATTCGTAATTCCCAGGGTCGCCTGACATTGGGCAACGTCCAGTGAAAATTGGTTTGGTCCAGTTAAGTTATATGCATTAGTGATGCATGGGGACAAACTTGTATATCATTCAAATCATCTTGGCATGACAAACCAGAATATATATGGTTTAGGGGTGGGGATCTCAACCATTTACAAGATACTAGAACATTGGGGGTGGGGAGGAACCCCTGGGGACTTGCCCTATACATCATTCAAATGTTCATTACATGACGAACAGGAATATATATGGTTTAGGGGTGGGGATCTCAACCATTTACAAGATATTAGAACATTGGGGGTGGGGGGAACCCCTGGGGACTGAACGTATACGTCATTCAAATGTTCGAGACATGACAAATAGGAATATATATGGTTTAGGGGTGGGGATCTCAACCATTTACAAGATATTAGAACTTTCTCAAATGGCAGGGGGTGGGATGACCCCTGGGGACTAACCCTGTTTATCATTCAAACCATCTTTGCATGACAAACCAGAATATATATGGTTTAAGGGTGGGGATCTTGACCACTTAGAAGATATTAGAACTTTCTTAAATGGCAGGGGGTGGGGTGACCCCTGGGGACTAACCCTGTATTTCATTTGATGTGCTTTATCATGACAAACCAGAATATATATGGTTTAGGGGTGGGGATCTCGACCATTTACAAGATATTAGAACTTTCTCAAATGGCAGGGGGTCGGGATGACCCCTGGGGACTAACCCTGTATATCATTCAAACCATCTTAGCATAACAAACCAAAATATATATGGTTTAGGGGTGGGGATCTTGACCACTTACAAGGTATTAGAACTTTCTTAAATGGCAGGGGGTGGGGGTGACCCCTGGGGACTAACACTGTATTTCATTTGATGTGCTTTATCATGACAAACCGGAATATATATGGTTTAGGGGTGGGGATCTCGACCATTTACAAGATGTTAGAACTTTCTCAAATGGCAGGGGGTAGGGATGACCCCTGGGGACTAACCCTGTATATCATTCAAACCATCTTAGCATAACAAACCAAAATATATATGGTTTAGGGGTGGGGATCTTGACCACTTACAAGGTATTAGAACTTTCTTAAATGGCAGGGGGTGGGGGTGACCCCTGGGGACTAACACTGTATTTCATTTGATGTGCTTTATCATGACAAACCAGAATATATATGGTTTAGGGGTGGGGATCTCGACCATTTACAAGATGTTAGAACTTTCTCAAATGGCAGGGGGTAGGGATGACCCCTGGGGACTAACCCTGTATATCATTCAAACCATCTTAGCATGACAAACCAGAATATATATGGTTTAGGGGTGGGGATCTCGACCATTTACAAGATATTAGAACTTTCTTAAATGGCAGGGGGTGGGGGTGACCCCTGGGGACTAACCCTGTATTTCATTTAAGTGCTTAATCATTTAGAACATTTTCAATTAAAAAGATTGTGTCTATCACAAACGGTTTTCAATTTATAATCATTTGAAAATTTAAAAAAATAAAATCCCATAGGGTTCTACAATAAAACCCTCCTTTCTTTTTGCCCCTCAAAGTACCCCTTTATAAACCCCATTGCACAAACAAAACCCTGATTGCACCACTAGACATGTTAGTCTAACATATTGTTTAACCCTAAGTTAATCTGACAAGCGGTTTTGGAGAACGGGTGCGGACAAGTTCAAAGGAGTAGGTCCGGTAAGGGCCGATTTTGGCCTCAAATTTCAGGTTCATCTGATGAAAGATTTTGGTCACTTTTTAAACACTTAAGTGTGTACTTTAGTCGATTCAATTAGTTTAGGTGACAGATTTGAACTGATTTTATCATTAAAGACGCTCAGATTCAAGCTTAAATATGAAAAATCTATCAAATATGCCACAATATGTCACTTTTCAGATGGTTTTTGTCAAAAATGAAAGTGGCCGCATCCGTGTTCACTCTCAACCTTTATATATGTTATGTATTATCATCAAATACAACTTGCATTTAAATATTAAGAATGAACACAAATGCGGCCACTTCCATTTAAGACGGAAACCGTCTAAAATTTAACTCAAATGCTGAAATTGTGAAGATTTCAGTAATATAGCATGACTTAATGATGCTAGTACCCGATATATATGCAATGTTTTGTCAAAAACTGCCCATATTTATGTAGCAGAAGTATTCTACTTTCCAATAAAGAGCTAAAAGTTTACATTTTAACAATTTTGTAAAACTGCTATATTTTGGGGCCAAAAAGGGGTCTTACTGGACCTACTCCTTTAAAAGCGGCGGAAGAAGAAGAAGAAGAATAATAATAATAAGAACTGAGCCAAAACAATAAGTCTTACCAAACTTCGTTTGGGAGACTTAATAAACTTTTTAATTTCAAAAGTGAATATGGACAATAAATTTTTGAAAATAATTATCAATCTTAATTGCTTGCAATACAGTACTATGATATAAAATCATTTAGAGATTCTGGAATCATTTACATATAAAAAAATTAGAAAAATATGTAAATAAAAAAAAAACAATTGGAGTGAGAATTACATTCACACAGATATCTTCATATCAAAAGCTTTTCTAAAAGGAACTGCTAACATCAAAGTGTTTTATTTCTGTCCAGTAATCATATAATCATGTTTATGTATAATTTTCATCTACATAATCAATTGATTATAACATGCAAAGGGAAATAATCAACAGCAAATTAATTCTTTCTATCAAGCTATTCCAGAATTATCTCCCTTTAAATGATCTTTTATGGTCAAAAAAGAATTTAAAAATTACAAAATCTAAATTGTATTAATTGCATTGAGTATATACATTGTGTCAGATGAACCAGAAAATATTTAAGGAGAAAAATGAACTCCTTTGACATTTCTACTGGACAGAATTCAATTGAATCAGAATACATATTGTAGAAAATTGACTAGTTTAACAGTCCCACTAAATATAATTGAGACAAATGTATAATATACATCAAAATGATGATGAGTTGAACATGAAAATATGAGAAAGAAAATAATTAACTCGCTTGACATCTAGCCTTCAATTGAGTCAGTTCTATCAATTGTACTGATTGGATAAATTGAATTAAAAATATGCGATATAACTGCTTCTTTTGAAATCCAGAATTCATTTAAGATGATATTTCTATAAGTAATTGAAGAAGTTTTAATCAATTCTCATAAGGTATTTTTGTTTTGATTTTGGCTACCAGGGTAAGTCTGTCATGTTGCTAAAAAAGTAAAATGCATCAAAAACCTTCCAAAACATGCCAAAGGGTGAGTGAATTTTGACAAAATGCAAAACCCACCAATAGCCCAGAATAAAGACTGACAGATTTACACGTTTACAAAACAATAGGGTTAGCTCTCTTTAGATGTGAAGACAATCCTGTGATAGTATATGCAGCGTAAATGGAAATAAACAATAGTAACAGTATCAGTAACAGGAGATTCTTCATGCCAAGTTCTTCACTAAATTCATGAAACAGTGTTTTCAAATTGTTCTGAGATACTTCTTCTTTCTTTTTATATTGGTCAAATACTTGTAAAACTGCTTTCGGCACACCTCTTCTTTTAGCCATTTCTTTAGGTGTTGCTCCTATGCAATTTCTGAAAATGAAAATGATACTTCATACATGTAAATTTCAAGCCTCATCTGGATTTACCTTCATCAGGAAAGCTCAAGTCCAAAAATTTAACAGCCAGGGATGTATAAATACTTGACTAAGGTAGCTACCAATTGATTTTTATGGGGGGGGGGGGGGGGGGGGGGGGGGGCTAGGATGAAATTTAAAAAAAATAGGCAGGACAGGAGTTTTGAGTAAAATAAAAATAGGATGAGATTATTTGCAAATAAAAAAGGCAGGATAAAAATTTATGTAAAAAAAAAAAAGTCAGGATAAACTAAAAAAAAAAGGCAGGACCGAATAGAGTAAAAAATAAAAAGGCAGGACCGAAGAGAGGGAAAAATAAAAAGGCAGGACAAAATTTTTCATCCTAGCCCCCCCATAAAAATCAAATGGTAGCTCCCTAACTATATGACCAAAAGACATAAAAGAGTTATAATCAAAATCGTCAACAGTCAACTTTGCCTGAGAGAGTTGGAACCTTAATTTCTAATAGTTTCTGTATTTATCAATGGAAAATTAAGAAATAAATTTTTAGAACAAAAGTTATATATTTTCTAATAGGAAACTTGACCGACTAATCAAAGTTATATATTTTCTAATAGGAAACTTAACCGACTAATCAGGCAAACATTAAATCTATAAATTAATGATGTGTTTAAATGAAGTTCATGTATTGGTAGTGTAATGTTTATCAAATATTTTGCAAATTCAGCATACAATTTTATTCTGGTTTTTGTAATGTACATGTATGTAGAGGTTCAAAAAACATCCTATTATTGACAGTGCATGGAAGCATATGATTATTCAGTTATATTTGTATATCATGTATATGGGACTTTTCATTTGTAATACCAGTACTTCAGAGTCTAGTGCTTTTTAAACTAACTTTTAAGTAGCTTTTGTTACTACAATGATTGACCATTTCGTCCTGAACATGCATGAAATATTTGCCACTGGATTTTAAGCAACCAAAACTCATTCAAACCAATGATTGAGGATATAAAGCGGATTAGGTACTCAAACCTAGTTAAACCCAGCTAGTTAAAGTGTGCCCTTTGTAAAGGACCTTTTCTTGAGTTATATCTTGGTGTTTTGGTCTTTCAAGAATTTTGAACTCAATATGTGTAACCCTGACAAATTTGTTTAGATGCTGAGCAAATCTAAATATTCAAGTTAAAGTGAATAAAAACAAGCCAGAAAATAACTAAGCATTTCATTTAAGAATATATGAATGAACATTATAATCCATTTTAAAGTTAAAATCGTGGTGATGATTGATGAAGTGAATTGGATGAAGAAAAAAACAAAAAGGGAACATCCTATAGGTAAAAGGACCTTTATTCATGACATCCATAAAAAAAAGTTGGGAAAAATGCCCATTTTAGCCTTCTGTTGACAATATTAGCATGAATGAAGGGGATTTCTCTAATTCTTACTCTATTTATCCTTTATTATTTATTGAATATTTTTATTTAATCAACGTGTGTTTCGTGTGATCTCAGTTCTTCATTGGCCAAAATTCAATTATGACGTCAAATTTTCCTGCTTTTCTCTGAAATTCCTATTGTGACGTCATGAAAAAAGGCGACCATGCCTGATGACGTCACATAGAAAGACACATCTTTTTGCAGCACTTTCGAAAAAGAAGGATTAAGATTGTCTGCATATCGTCTAAAAGATTTCGTACAATATATTTATCCACTCTCGACAGTTCAATAATTATTTTTATTTAAAATGCTCAGCGAGCCTCACGTTTTAAATTTGAAAATTTAACTGTCTCCAGTAGATAAAAATCGTATCACACTCGATGCAGTGGTAGAATCTATATTTTTCTTTCTTATTAATTCTATTGTTTCTTTATCTAAACTTTCGTTTTAAAACTGATTTATGAATTTCTATTTAAAGATATATTTATAAAATACATTGTTACAACTACTGTATATCATTCAAATATTATATATTATAACTTAATTCATATACTTGGTGGAAAAATTTACTAACTTTGTAATCATTTTGTCATTTTTCATGTTCTGAGCTTAGACCTTACATAAATTAGCTATACACTAGTTTAACTCCACCACAATGACACATTATGTGCCTGTAACGAGTCAGGCTATCTGGACCATGTGTTGGTTGTCTGCCCGAGTTTGTATTCTTTTTTTTGGAGGAGTCATATGTTATTGGTTTATATGGTCTTTTGTATTGATGGGTATTTTTTGGTTATTCCTGTTATGTTTTTAATAGCAAAAACTCATAGTCATTCCATCAAATGTGTATTCAGTTTTTTTTTAATACTTTTACATGTTTTAGGGTTATTGATTGCTCAATTTTGTACATGTTTACTGAAAAAACTGATGTTTAAGATTTACTTGAATCCCCATATTATTTTCAACTGAATTCAATACTAGTTGACTGACTGATTTTTAAGAATTATTTGAATATGTGTTGTCTATTCTGTATGTTCAATCTGAGCTTGTCTTCATGTTCCATCTTAGCTTGTTCCTTTTATTGCCTATACAGTTTTTGAAATGCAATGGGAAGTTAAAAGGACGACTATGATGATGAACAGCTGTTTAACATCCAGCATCAAATTAAATGCATATTCAAAACAACACCATATTAATGTGATATGAATATGAACCCTGCTTTGTACTAGGCCAACACACTGAGCTGGATTTATAAAGTGCTTAAGTTCACAAGGTAGCAATCTGCAGGAAGAAATGTATGGATCACCATACCCAGACACATTATTCCGACTCCAAGCCGACCAGTCTTTGCTCTTAAGCTTTAATCATTGTACTAATGCAGTTTGTTTAATGGAGAAGTAGAAAATACTAATTCTAAAGTCTTCGGTTTGACCCCTGACCTCCTGCACACGAGGAGAGCAAGCTACAGCGATATTGTGAGTCCAAAAGTACATTTTTAATGTTTTCTGACAATATTTTTTCTTTATACATGATACACATGTTTATACTTTAGTTCAATTACCATGTGCTTTATTAAAAAGGACATATAGACCTCTATTTAATTTTTAACTACTAACAACATGACATGTAATACTGAGCAAAACTGTCTTAATTAATACTGCTTATAGTCACCCATCTTGTTGCTTTTTATGAATGAGTTACAACGTTTGACCCGAAGTCAATCAATGTAAATAATGTCATTAAAAAATTGTTGTGTACTGTGACTTAATAACATAAGCACAGTGACATAGGAAATGTACGGGAAAGTGCATGAATTGAAAGAGGGTGGTAAAGGGTCAATTGCGTGCAACATGATTTTTTTGTTTTTTGATAAAGCGGAAAGGCTTTTGGCGTTCTTCCTTATTGATTTTGGAGCATTCGTGTCTGCAGGATATTTGCATTTTAAAAGTTAAGCCGTAAACTATTTATATCATAAATCTGTATACAAAATTGGGAATATCGAGTAAAACAGAGAGTTAATATAAACAGGAAGACAGTGAATCAGTCAAAAGGTTTACATCAAAGTCTTTATTTTTCGTGCAACATTCATGACAGAAATAATTTCACATTCAACGTGAAATTATGTCTTAATTATTTCACGTTTTTTTCTGTGCAAGCACCCCCTTCACCACCCTCTTGGAAAGTAGTCTTTATACCTGTCATCAACTTTTGATCCATGGTTAATAAGAAGGTCAATTACATCTGCATGACCACACCAATGAAGAGGAGTGTTCCCATTTTTGTCTTTTAAGTGTGCTTTTGCCCCTTGTTCTAGAAGTAGTTCAACAATCTCATATTGACCTCTACATGCTGCATAGTGGAGTAGAGTTCGCCCTTGTTTGTCTCGCTTGTTTAGGTCAAACTTTCTGCTTTCTAACAAATGTGTGGTAAGATCAACGTCTCCATCAAGTACTGCTTCTTGTAAATCATTTCCGATTTCCATCATGTCTAACATGTGATCTATAGATTCCATTCAAATACGATATTAAACATTTTCAAAAATGTCTACAACTTTCTGTTTGCAAAATGAAAGTTGATTGCCGCTTACACACAGTACAATGTTGATGTTAAAATGTAAACAAAGGAATATTTTAACTCTTTTGTGGTTAAAAATATTTTTCGTTAATAACAGCAATATCATAATTGAGTGAAAATTTTTCAAAATATTTTTACCATAACATCTTTAATATTGATTTTTAGAATTATTTCCTCAAAGATATATGCGGCCACTTGTTTTCTTGCATTGACAATAGTGACTGATTCATTCTACGTATCTGTTTGTTCCCACTGTGATTAGGATGGCGACCATTTGATACATGTACCGATTAAGTTACAAGTCATGACTGTAAAATGAATTTACGGAATCTGTTTCAGGATTTCAACCCTAGGTCTGAAATGTATTTTTTGTTACAGTACTTAGTACTATATAAATAATATAGTAGTGTCACTCCCTTTTGTTTTTTTCTAATAATAGATGACTAAAAAAAATACAGGAATTAAAAAATCAATTCACATCAAATACCATTTACTAATAGAAAATGGTTTTAGTGAAAAATGAGGGCGAACAAACCCATGGATAAATGACGAAATCAATGACATCATGCCCTGGACCAGACAAACTTGCCCTAACTTAGTAACTATCATCTTGCCCCACTAATGAAAAGAGTTTAAATCTCGCTGAATTTAGGCCTGCCAATTTGCCACCTTGTTAAAAGAGTTAAATCTTGCTGAATTTAAGCCTAATCCATTTCGCCCCACAATGAATAAAAAGGAGTTAAATCCCTCGAAATTGCCACACTATAATTTTTACCCACTGTATTATGACCCCATTATTGAAAAGAGTCATATTCTGCTGAATATAAAAAACCAAGCTGCCAATCCCCCACTTATTAAAAGGAGCTTTATCCCACTATCATAAAGGCATGTCAACTAGCCCCATTAACAATGCATGATTAACCAAAAGGAGTTAAATCCTGATGTATTCCAACTCACCCCATTCTTTAAAAGGAGTTTAATACTGCTGTAATAAACACATGCCAACTCATCCCAGTGATGAATACTCATTTTTATAAGTGGGGCAAGTTGGCAGGCCTTTATTCATCAGGATTTAACTCCTTTTCACAAGTGGGGTGAGTTTGTAGTCCTAAATTCATCTGGATATGAATATTTTTCATAAGTTGGATGAATTGGCTGGCCTAAATTCACAGGGATTTAAAGCCTTTTCATAAGTGGGGCAAGTTGGAAGGCCTAAATTCAGATGTATTTAACTCACTTTCAGTAGTGGGGTTATTTGGCAGGCCTTAATTCAGCTGGATTCAACTCCTTTTCAGTAGTTGTTAGAAAAAGTAGGGAGGCAAGTGGAGCAATTTGGCAGTGGGGTGAGTTGTCTTAGTTGTGTTCATACATGTGTATATGCAACATTTCAGCCCTTTTCAACTTAAGAAAAGAGTATCTAGTCTGACAAGATTTTTTTTAACTAAAGGAAGGACTAGTCTTACTTTTTAGATACATGTAGTTGTAACTGGTTTATCATCTTATAATAGTAGTTAAAAGTTTGCAAAACCAATGATACACTTCTAGTAATAATTCAATAACAAATAATATTTAAAAATAGGCATAAAATACCAAGGGGATATTCAAAGCTCATAAGTGGAAAAGACCGGTAGGTCTTTTCACCATCGAACACCACCGCACACCGCCGAACACCACCGAACACCCCAAAAATTTATATTTTTGAACTCTTATTGTTATAAATGTGACCTAAATATAATATTTAAGTTATTAATTCAACAAATAATAAGGTTAAGAGAACAAATATCTACATCGAACAGAAAAGGAGAGTCTATAACACTACAACTCTGCAAACCACCACTGGACACCTCAAATAATTTTTTTTCTTCATTTTTTTTCTTCTTTTTTAAATAGTTGTACCAATAACAAGAAAAGAGACATGAACAAATGTTAAATATTTCGGGTAACTAATATCCTTCATCAGTAATTGATGTCAAATGATTCTTATACACACACAATGTAATCCGGAAAATAGTGATGAATCCGGAGACGTTTTACTTTATATGGATTATATTGATAATCGACTTTAACAGAAAAATGATGCATATAAACATCTAAAAAATTGTTAAATTAGACGTAATTTTATTGATTTTACCGTTTTATTGTATAAAATCACTGACTTTATCAGTGGTTGATGTTCTTTTGGGTGTTTGGCGGTGTTCGGTGGTGTGCGGTGGTGTTCGGTGGTGAAAAGACCCACCCGGAAAAGACACCACCAGTACCATGGCAAAAAACAAAAGGGGACAATAAGCATGATAAGTACAAATAAGTCAACAAAACACCACAAAGAAACCTTAACACTGAGCAACAGTAACCAAACCTAAAACTTAAATTTAGAATTATCTGCTGTCCACAAATTGAAAGTTAAAGAAAATGCATAAAAATTATAAGAATTATCGAATAATACCAGACAGGTCAACGGACCACAACAACCACCAACACTGACTCCTGTGAGATGCACAAACAAATGCAAACAATTAACAGACAATACCTGGTCCAGACAGCCTGACTTGGTATGCATGTAGGCACAAAATTTGGTTGAGTTAAACCAAGGATTTGTATAGTAGTCTTACTATACAAATCCTTGGTTAAACAAGTGATATACAATGTATGCGTGTGTGCCCAATCTAAATGGTTTTTTCTTGAAATTCATACACACAATAAAAAACTAAAAAACTTCACAGTCAGCTATAATAACGATATCCGCTGACTTAAATAAACTAGATGGCATGTTTATTTATAGTCTAAGATAAAACTTCCTTTTTCTTTATTTTTCAGTAAATTTTTGGTGTTTTCCTGCCTGCTGTTATTTTCATTCTTGTTTGCTCTAAGATTAGACAATACAATCGAATGGAGTTATTGGGTGATATTTTTACCAATATGGATCTGGAAGATTGTTGTAATGGCTGGTGCAGGTGTTGGCAGTTACATTTGGTGGAAAAATCCACAATACAGGTGATACAAATATTTTACAAAACTTTGTACACACATGTTGATTTAAAAACAAATGGAATGAAAAGAAATTAGATTTTAACAAATCTATTACAGTAAATTCAGAAATTTTTGTATGCTGCATTTATTTTTTGATTGATGAGCAATGGACAAGAATGGCAGATTAATTAGGGAGCTACCATTTGATTTTTATGGGGGGGGGGGGGGGGGGGCTAGGATGAAATTTGAAAAAAAAGGCAGGACAGGAGTTTTGAGTTAAAAAAAGAGGCAGGATGAGCAACTTTGCAAAAAAAAAAAGGATAAACTAATAAAAAAAGGCAAGACCAAATAGAGTGAAAAATAAAAAGGCAGGACAGAGATTAGAACTAAAAAAAAATGCAGGACAACATTTTTCATCCTAGCCCCCCCCCCCTGAAAATCAAAAAGTAGCTCCCTTATTTAAATTTCAATATGAAAGAAAATAGAAAACAGGATTTTCAAAAAACTTTCACACAAATCAGTACAAGAACATGAATCAGAATGAAAAAAATCCCTAGTTATTGACACAATAATACATTTAATTGTACATGCATGATGTTGTCAAATTTGAGATGTATTGTTTATGCTAAAATGCAGGGAGTTAATTTCATATTTTGTAAGCAGTAAGCAACAGAAAAAAAATGAAGATGTCATTTATTTATTGTTTATATGCAATTGTGACTCAAAATGAAAGTGACATCTATTATAAGTATAAAACATTATATCTGTGTGATATAATGCTGAAATGTTTTATTTGGTAAGAATTAATGATTGAATGATTGTGGTTGTTTTTAGTAGTTTTAACATATTTTATTGTCCAAAAAAATGACAAAAAAGATCAGACACAAGTTTTTCATCTTATAAAATCTTCTCTGTTATGCAAAATTACAAATATTACATAACTGAACAAAATCAAATACATGTGAATCATATTATACATAATATTAATATTATATATGTGGTTTGTTGATATGTTTATTGTAGAAATGATGGCAAATAAATGATTGAGTATAAAAATATATTTATCATTTTTTTTTATATTGGAGGCAACTACTATGTTCAACATAATCCCATACTAGATATTTATTTTCCCTGATGTATAGAACCTTCTCTGTGGTTTCTTGGTAGCATGTTTGCCTTTGTTGGGGGAGGTCTAGCTTGGGTTCTAAACATGGCGGGGTCAAAGTTCAAACCAAAGACTGTAAAATTGGTATTTGCTGGTTTTCCGCTAAGCATGCTGCATTAAGGAGTAAAAACAAAGACTGGTCAGATTAGAGTCAGTACAATGTGTCTTGGTCATGAGACATGTCTTCCAGCAGACTGTTACCCTGTGATCTAGCACATTAAAAATATGACTCAGTGTTTCGGTCTAGTACAAAGCAAGGTTCATATTCATATCACACTATTATGTTCTCGTCCTGAATATGCATTTAATTTTCCACTGGACGTTAAAAAGTCCTCCACCGTTCCATCCATCTATCCAAGATGTATGCTAATAGTATATTTCCAGTTGAATAAAATTGAGAATGGAAACGGGGAATGAGTCAAAGAGACAACAACCTGACTAAAGAGTAGAAAACAGCCCAAGGCCATCAATGGGTCTTCAACACAGCTAGAAAATCTAGTACCCGGAGGCGGGCTTCCACTGGCCCCTAAACAATAATGTTTACAAATTCAGCGAAAATGGATGTCACACTAAGCTCCGAAACATTTAGGCTATATGTTGCTAATTTTATATTTCAGATTGGAAGGCAATGGTTATGTCCAGTATAAAGCTATGGTGATATGTACAGGACTGCACCTGCTATTGCTGATGTTCGAAATTTTAGCCTGTGATAATTTAGAGACTGAACACCATTCCTGGATACTTGTTTTTATACCTTTAATGTTTATGTCAGTTGTATCTATTGGTATTTGTGTATGGGCTGTAAAAAATGAACGCTCTTTTGAGGTAGGTTGTCTAACATGTCTGTTTGCAATTGCATGTGGGGTCTACAAGATATAAACACTCTTTTGAAGTTGCTGTAGGTAGCTAGAGGTAGATTGATAGGTTTTAATGTAGAAGGTAAAAAATAATCTCTTTAAGGCTTTTCTGAAAGTTTTACTGAAATTCAGATAACTTTTTTATGCCCTTGCAAGGATTTAAATCAAAAGAACACAAAGAATTTTGATTTTCTGAAACTGAATGCAGAACTGAAAAAAAAATATGAACAGAATTTCATGAAGGTTGAAATGAGGAAAACATTACAAAATTCGGTTGACTATTTTTGAGTTAGATATTGTGTCATACATTTTTTACACAGATGAATTTTTGAAACCAAGATATTTCTTTTTCAGATGGAGCTGTTTTGTTCTGTAAATATTCTACAATTTATATTTCTGTCTCTAAGATTAGATAAAGTCATCCAGTGGAGCTGGGTGGTAAGTCTTATTTTGAACCAAGCTTTAGTAGAGTTCGAATTTTGAATATGTAATCAAATTAACTTTAAGGAAGTTGATAAATAGCTAGTAAATAAAAATTTAAAGATATACAAATATAATATGATTGCAGAGAGACAACTCTTCACCATAGACCAAATGAGGTTAAAGTTAACAACAATAGGCCACTGTACGGCCTTTAACAATGAGTAAAATCCATACCACATAACAAGCTATAAAAGGCCTCAACATATCAAATGGTAAATAATTCAAACGAGAAAACTAACAGCCTAATTTATAACAAAACAAAGAAAAAACTAATATGACAGAAATGAAGCAATGACAAGTAAACACATTTAATTAGATATTGTTAATCCACCAAATTTCAAAGTAACTCATTTTTGTGGCATATTTTTCTCTCATATATTTATTCTATATAAAAAGAATTTCTGAAAACTAACTTCCATCCTTTCAAATTAAGTTGCAGTGTCCTAATTAAAATCATCTGAAACAGTAATGTCTAAAACATAGACGTTTACGTAATGCAACAGTTATGTCTAAAACTCTGGAGTTTATAAAATGCAATAGTAACGTCTAAAACAACATTATTTCTACATTTGTCCATTCACTAAAATTTATGCTTTATCGGATATTTTCACTTTTGTAAGTGGTTCAATAGTGTTCACACAAATACTAGATGAAGATGACTTTGAATTCACAGTAGTTAGAGCCCCCCCAAAATATAATTGATTCATGCTTTCTGGCCGAAGAAATATCAGGTAGGTAGTTAAGTAAATTAATTTTATTTTTTTGTTAATACATGTATTTGACATAGTCTACATAGGGAAATGTTCAAAACTTTAAGGGCGTTTAAACACAAATTGACTGGACTTTGACATTGCTTAATCAAAAATGTCTACTTAATGTGTGAAGGTATAGGCATGAACATTTAGGATAGGAACAGATACAGGAAACAGACCTGAATTTTTTTTCACATATGACATAGCTTGAAAGAAACACATTAATACTAGTATTATTTCTGTCTTATGTACTTTTGTACTTTTGTATGTTTTCTCTTGTATAGATTGTTTTCATTCCAATTTGGATTTTGATGTGTACAGCCATGATAGGAGTATTATATGCTATTATTCTAGCCATAATATTAATCAAATCGCCAGACATTATTCCACAACAAAGACGTGGAAATATTTCATCTGCCATAGGTTATTCATTAATGGTAGTACCATTACTTGTTTTTGAGGTAAGACTAGAGAAATATTGAATTTTATTATTCATTTAAAAATAAAAAGATGTGGTATGATTGCCAATGAGACAATTCTTCACCAGAGACCAACTGATGTAGAAGGTTTGCACCTTCAACAATGAGTAAAACTCATACACCATAGCAAGCTATAAGAGGCCCTGAAATGATAAATGTTTAACAATTCAAACAAGAAAACTAACAGCATGATTTATGTCCAAAACAATAAACAAAAAACAAATATGGTAAATAGCAATAAAGGACAACCACTGAATTACAGGCTCCTGACTTCTGACGAGACAGGCAAGTACAGAATGTGGCGGGGTTGGAAATGTTTGCTGGCGACACCCTCCTCCCCCTAAACCTGGGACAGTGGTGTAACAGCAGAAAAAACTATAAGAATCAGTGGAATGCTTAACTCATCAGATTGATAAAAAGCACATAAAAAAAACCTAAAAAAAACACAAAAGACACTAAGTATGTTCAAGTCAAGTAGGGATATTTTGCATGGCTTCATAACTATTTAAAGTGTACATTTTTAACCATTACACCATTTTTATGCCCCCCGCCGTAGCGGAGGGGGCATTAAGTTTTACCATTGTCTGTCTGTATGTACGTCCCAAAGTTGGTTTCTGTTCTCTAACTTTAGTTTGTCTCAACCAATTGTTATGAAACTTACACACAATGCTTATTACCACAAAACACAGATCAAGTTTGAATTTTGGTGGCGTCACTTTAACCATACTAGAGTTATGCCCCTTTAAAAATGGAAAAATTGCTGAATTTTTCCTTTCTGTTCTTTAACTTTAGTTTGCCTCAACCAAATGTTATGAAACTTATACACAATGCTTATTACCACAAAATACAGATCAAGTGTGAATTTTGATGGTGTCACTTTAACCGTTCTAGAGTTATGCCCTTTACAAATGGAAAAATTGCTGAATTTTTTGTTTCCGTTCTCTAATTTAAGTTAGCCTCAACCAAATGTTATGAAACTTATACACAATGCTTATTACCACAAAACACGGATCAAGTTTTAATTTTGGTGGAGTCACTTTAACCGTTCTAGAGTTTTGCACCTTAACAAATGGAAAAATTGCTGAATTTTTTGTTTCCGTTCTCTAACTTAAGTTAGCGACTTAGCCTCAACCAAATGTTATGAAACTTATACATAATGCTTATTATCATAAAATACAGATTAAGTTTGAATTTTGGTGGTGTCACTTTTACTGTTCTAGAGTTATGCCCCTTTACAAATTGAAAAATTGCTGAATTTTTCTCATTTTCGTTTCTGTTCTCTTACTTAAGTTTGTCTCAAATAAATTTTATGAAACTTACACACAATGCTTATTACCACAAAACTCAGATCAAGTACAAATTTGGGCAGCGTCACTTTTACCGTTCTTCAGGTATGTCCCTTTATAACTTTATATGATATGCAAGCGGGGGCATCATCTGTGTCCCATGGACACATGCCCCATTTATTTTATTATAGTTCATGTATTCAACATTAAAAAGTCTAAAAATCAAAGATATTTTGAAATATATTTGATTTCAGAGCCAATTTGGCACAAAATCTTTCCTTCTCCTTTATCTTGAATGAATGTTTACACTATTATTGAAAGTGCAATGTTTTTCTCTTTCCAGGTACTATTAGCCAATCGTTTAGATGGTGACAATCATTTTAAATACACTGCCATTACAGTGCCATTGTTTATTTCTCTCATAACTTTGATCTGTCTCTCATTTGGTGCTAAGGGAGGTAACCAATGTAAGTATTATTGATATTGATACGACGCAATTGAAAAATAACACTTTATAAATTTCGTAGTTCAGAAGTGCTTTTATACCCCCGCTTTAAAAAAGTGGGGTATACTATTTTACCTCTGTCTGTCCATCCGTCAGTCCATCCATCCGTCCTTCCGTCCTATGAATATTTTTCGTCGCATCTTTCTCAGGAACTACACTACAAGGATTTCTGAAATTTGGTTTCAGGGTTTATATAAGTCAGCTATACCGTGTGATGCGTTTTCAGATTCATCACTCAACAACTTCCTGTTTACCGAACACTTGTATCATTTTACACATGATAGCCAAGTTGAAAATTTTCGTCACATTTTTCTCAGGAACTACAATACAAGGATTTCTGAAATTTGGTATATATAAGTCAGCTATACCTTGTGATGCGTTTTCAGATTCATCACTCAACAACTTCCTGTTTACCGAAATATTTGGGCGGGGGGTATCATCAGTGAGCAGTAGCTCGCAGTTTCACTTGTCTGGATTCACCATCATCAGGAAAGCTCTAACCCAAACATTTGAAAGCAAGGGATGTATGAATACGTACAAACGCTAGGAGCCACAAGGGACATGAAAAAAATAGCCAAGTTCATCTCTATTTATCAAAGGATAATCTTTAGAATAGTTGTTACTAACCAGGTCAGTGCAGAAGCACTGTAGTATAAAAATAAGGAGGTGTGATATGATTGCCAATGATACAATTATCCACCAAAGTTCAAATGAAGTGGATGTAAGCAATTATAGGCAACCGTACGACCTTCAACAAAGTGAAAAACCCATACCAGATATATGTATATATTTCTACTGATTTGTACAAGATAAAACTTTGATCATAATAATAATCAAAATTGACAACAACACTTCAACTGGTCTGCAATTTTATTTACTATGGTCTACATGTTTCACCTGCCGGCAGGCGAAACATCAGAACAATTCACATACAGAAATGATTTGCTGAAATACCCACACTGGTATCTTGAATTTGACGTCACAATGTGTGTTGTCAAGGTGATCATAATAGTTTCAGATAATTTATTTAACTCTTAAACATGTTAAACATTTGTTTCAGAAAATTTATAAATGACATCACTTGCATTTGAAGTTTTAATTAGAATTACAAAATTCTTTCTTAAATGCTGGAAAATTGAGGCAGCTTACCAAGAAAACATGATTTATTGAATGACACAATGTTTAAACAGCTTACATGAACAATTTGTTTCCTGACATTGACTGGTCCTTGATAACTGGAAATTAAATTTTGGTGGTTCTGAAAGTTTTAAGTGGATTTTAGTTTTAATTATTTATTCAGTGTCTGTTAATTTGTTTTGTTTATTAAGGCAGAGCATTTTTGTTGACTAAATTATAAATGAATAGACTTGAGGAATTGATGAAATTAGCAGCCAACAATATACATTTCTTGAGCTCCTCATATTTGTCAGTAATCTATATAGTAACTTTTATGTATACTTTCAGGGTGGTTTGGAATCAGGAAAGACTTCTGTCAATTTCTATTAGGTATCTGTCCATTACTACAAGAGTATGGAAATATTTCATATACAATTCACAAAGACAATAGTTTCACTGTGGAATCACGGCCACCACCAGACAAGGCTGAAAGAATACCACATAAAAAATCCATACATGACGAACAACCCAAACCAATAGTACCTGTGATATCTATTGAAACACCAGACTGAAACTCAATCATTTCATTTATATTTTTTATACGACCGCAAAAAAATTTTGCGGCCGTATATTGGTATGACGTTGGCGTCGTCGTTGTCCAAAGACACATTGGTTTTCGCACTCTTACTTTAGTTTAAGTGAATGGATCTCTATGAAATTTTACCATAAGGTTCAATACCACAAAAGGAAGGTTGGGATTGATTTTGGAGATTATGGTACCAACAGTTAAGGAATTAGGGGCCAAAAAGGGGTCAAAAATAAGCTTTTTTGTAACTTCCAGACATAACTTGTGTGTTAGTGTATTGATCTCTCTGACATTGTACCACAAGGTTCCATATCATAAAGGGAATGCTGGGATTGATTTTGGGGGTAATTGCCTCAAAATTTTAGGAATAAGGGGTCAAAAAAGGGGCAAAACACAAGCATTTTCTAGTTTCATGACAATAACTTGTTTGTAAGTGTATGGATCTTTCTGAAATTGTACTACAAGGTTCCATATCACAAAGGGAAAGCTGGAATTGAGTTTGGGGGTAATTGCAAAAAACGTTTAGGAAAAAGGCGCCAAAAAGGGGCCAAAAATAAGCATTTTTCTAGTTTCCAGACAATAACTTGTGTTCAAGTGTATAGATCTCTCTGAAATTGTACTGCAAGGTACCATACCACTAAGGGAAGACTGGGATTGATTTTGGGGGTAATTGCCTCAAAATTTTAGGAATTAGGGGCCAAAAAGGGCAAAAAACAAGCATTTTTCTAGTTTCAGGACAATAACTTGTGTGTAAGTGTATGGATCTTTATGAAATTGTACTACAAGGTTCCATATCACAAAGGGAAAGCTGGGTTTGAGTTTGGGGGTAATTGCCCATAACGTTTAGGAATTTGGGGGCCAAAAAGGGGCCAAAAAACAAGCATTTTTCTAGTTTCCAGACAATAACTTGTGTTCAAGTGTATGGATCTCTTTGAAATTGTACTGCAAGGTACCATACCATAAAGGGAAGGCTGTTATTGAGTTTTGGGGTGATGAATCATAAGGGGGTTCAAAAAATTGGGGGGGGGGGATTTTTTTTTCCTTTTTTTTTCTTTAAAATTTTCCATTTTAAATTGGTTATTTCTGATTTATATATAAAAGCAAAAAATAATGATATGGTTTGAATAGGTAAATTAAAATTTTCTTAGACCACATTCATTCTGTGTCAGAAACCTATGCTGTGTCAAATATTTAAGCATAATCCAAATTCAGAGCTGTATCAAGCTTGAATGTTGTGTCCATACTTGCCCCAACTGTTCAGGGTTCGACCTCTGTGGACGTATCAAGCTGCGCCCCAGCGGAGCATTTTATTCTTGTCTGCTATGTAAATTATGGAAGGCTAGTCATAGATATTGCTTTTCCCTTTTTTACCGGTGTCTTTAAAGTCCATCATATGTTCTGTGATTTAGTAGTGTAGAGTGAGATTGGAAATGCAAGTAGGCATGTCATCGTATAGTTATCCTTTATCATCACCACATCTGTTATATGCAGCTAACAATGCCTTAAAATATCATTTAAATGCCTCTGCTCTTTGGTCGGGTTATTGTCTCTTTGACACATTCCCCATTTCCATTCTCAATTTTATCTCATTTACTTTCCATAAGTACAGGCAAGACATATTTCTGTGTCCACAGTGTATGTTTAAAGAAATACAGGGTTATAAAATTGATAAAGGAATTCCTTTTATCATTCAGCAACCTATAGTTGGGGATACTCTTTTTCATGTTTCCCCCTTTCTAGCATATTTTGTGCCAATTTATTTCCACGATTTTCATCATTTGTTTGTGTATTTATGTATAAAAAGATCCATGTATGACAAAGTCGTGACGATTTATATTCGGTTTATCTATCTACTCGCAAAAGTTGCATAAAATTAATTGCTTGCCAAAATTAGCTGGTTTACATTACGAGTTACATAAGAGTTTGTGATGAAATAAGAAAATTGGAAACACTTGAAATAGCAACTTTCTTAAATCATGAAAAATTCATACAAAATAAAATAAATGAATCCACAGTAAATGTGAGTATCTTTGTTATCATTTTGTTAAGGTCAGTCATTTGTTTTTTCTTTTAAAGTTTTATGGACAAAGGGAAATAACTCAACTAACAATATTGCCTGGATATGTTTCTTGCATAAAAATATGCAATATGTAACTCATTGACTTCAATTGCCAACTGAATAGAAACTTCCACTCTTTCATTCAGTACCCTTAGCAAAAGCTATGTCTTGTCTTGTAGTTGTGTGCAGTGACATTTGAGTACATCAATCTTACTAGCTTTGTTTTGTACAAAATTCAGAAAAATTCTGGTTGGGTTGCCTTTCAACTTCTGTTTGGGGAAAAAAAACAAAGTTTAATGTTAAGTTGTATGACTTTCATAGATCTGTCATCTTTAAAGTGAAATAATGAGAAAAAATAAAAAATACAGTGTTTGTGAAAGTTTCATGTGTAGCTCATTAAGATTAGCATATAAATGGGATGCTAGAATATAAAGAATAGAGAATGGTCAAATAAATAAAGAATGTAGAAGAATAATCTAATAAGTTAAAGAATAAAGACATGAGGGACCCCCATCCAGAACCCCATAGATTAGGGTTTGAAAAAAACAGAATTTTCACAAAACCCAGATAGTTACTTTATGAATTTTTAAAGATTTAACAATATATGTATTTATTGCTTTGTGTTAAGTTCAAACTGACAAGTTTATCTAAAACTGTCTGAATATGTGATTTTTCCTGTGGTCTTAGAAAAAAAGGGAATAATTTTCTCCATGTGCTGGAAAAATCATAATTGCATAAAAGAATTTTCCAAAGCTTTTTTTCAAAAGAATCCTTAAACAATTATCCAGAATAAAACTTCTGAATATTACAAGTTTTTTTTTTATTGCAGATCAACTATGATTTAAATGTGACAAATGGTTGAATTTATATGGATATTTATAGTATGAATAAAATTTTTGATATAGCATTGTTGTTGTTCTAACATACACAATTTTTCAGTCTGTTTAAAGTATAAAGCAAAATAACAAAAATACCAAACTCCAAGGAAAATTCAAATCGGAAAGTCCCTTATCAAATGGCAAAATCAAAAGCTCAAACACATCAAATGAATGGAAAACAACTGTCATATTCCTGACTTGGTACAGGCATTTCCCTATGTAGAAAATGGTTGATAAAACCGGGTTTTAAAGCTAGCTAAACTTCTCACTTGTATGACAGTTGCATAAAATTCCATTATATTGACAACGATGCGTGAACAAAACAAACAAACATAATAGGTAAAAATGTCAAAAATAGGGGTACAGCAGTCAACATTGTGTTATAATCTTAATCACTATAAAAACAAACAAATATGTTAACAAAGAAAACTAAATAGCATATAGAAAAAGCACATAAGCAAAAATGAAAGACAAGAATACAAAAAAATGACCACAGCACAACAACACATTGGCAGGATGCATAAGTACCGAGCCACGCCAAAAGGATATTACCAAAAATTTACTAAACAGTAAAGGTTAATAATTTACAAAGACATATAAAAGAACACTAACACTTAATTAAGATGATAAACAACGTCAGTACCTAGAATCTATACTTCAAGACCATCATTAATTATTTGTGAAGTTGATACGGAATATATATCAACAGGGTCTCTTCCGATGAACTTTTTTAGAAAAAGGGCGAGACTTTCTTTGACAACCCTGGTTCATCAACTTTCTGCTCGGACACGGGTGACATTTTATAAAGTCTGGCGAACAGCTGCAAGCTCTTGAATACCAAATGAGATTGGAAATGTATATCCCATATGCAGGTGAAGTTGATATATTGCTACTAAAGTGGGGAAGTATTTGAGCTTTTTGCCTCATTTAGAGTAAAATTGCAGAATGGAGTCATAGGGATACCAACCTCATGTGGTTAACTAGTTGCACAAAGCTTAAGGTCAAATTATATAAAATGTGTCATTTCAGGGTTTTTTTCTTCACCAAATTTTGCATACAACTGCGTTATGCTAAACATGAACTGAAAATTGAAGAAAAAAATAATGCATTTATATCTTTTATTTTCTGAAATATTGTTGAGTAAATTCTTTCAAAATAGATGTTTAACTGTATAGAAAGTACATAGATTTGGTGAAAACCATTCTTAAAATTGTCTTAAAATCACCAAATGTCTAATTATCAATGTATAGATTTAAAAAAAAAATGATTATGTTGTTGATAAATAAATTTCTGTTTCATTGATATGAAATAATCATAGGGTCACCAACCTCATTTTTGATATCTTAACCAATCTGTTACCTAGTTTGTAGCAACAAAAAAAAAGTTAAAAAAAATCAACGTTTTACGGCTTACTGCACCTTAATGTTATGCCTATTTTGACGTTCTGTGATATTTTTTCACCTTAAATATAAAAATAAGAAGATGTGTTATAATTGCCAATGAGTTACCTATCCATGTTTCTCGCTGTGTTTAAGTCCCATTGGTGGTCTTCGGCTGTTTTCTGCTCTTTGGTCGGGTTGTTGTCTCTTTGACATATTCCCCATTTTCATTCTCAATTTTATTTTGAGAACTTCTGTATCATTAGCCTGTCAAAACTGAGTTTTTGAGTTCGAATCCCGCACGTGGCAGGTGCGCTCGACTCCAATCTTAATTGACTAGGATTGTTAGTTTTCTTACCGGCACACCACCAATAAAATATTACTGCCACGAAATAGCACAATAGTGCTGAAAGCCGTATTAAACACCAAACAATCATGTTTTCCAAGACTTGAGTATCAATTAGTACACATCCAACAGATTAAATGTAATGACGACATAAACACCGAGAAATGCATGACCTTGTAAACTGCCGAAAAATAAGTCAATGGTATCGAAAGGATGTTGGATCATGAGTAAAGATAACTGTACATTTGAACCAATATATATTTAATTGTGTTTAAAATTATCAAAAGCAAAATAAATGTTAATGCTGATAAAATTAATATTCAAAGATTTAAATATAGTGTTAAATTGATATTTTAAAGATAAGTTTATTTAAAGGATCACTGAGTTTGCATGGATCGTATCTAAATTTACAGGCTTTAAAATAGAAAATACGAAGTCAGGGACACTATTATTATTTTACAAAACTAAAACCGTATTTATATTAAAAAAAACTATAAGCATTGGAAATTTGAAGAACTTTTTTGCCGATTTTCTGTGCTTTCTATATTATTATATACCCATTTTGAAAGACTTTATTCAATATTTTTTTTTTCAAAAAAATTAAAGAGATAAATACTTTGTCTCCGATTTTCAGTTGAAGTTCAACGAGCCCAAGTTGTATGCAAATTTTGACGAAAATCTGTGCCCCATTTACCGTATCTTGCACTTAATATTACGGTTGGTAGCAGAGCAATCCATATTCTATAAGTATTGTTTCTGGTCTAAAGTTTTAGTCTGGCGTGTATCACTTGTCCTTGACCGTTATTTTCAAGATTGCATGACCTGCAGAAGTAACCAATTGTTTAGATGGGTAAGCTCATCATAGATACCAGAATTATAAAAATGTTAACGCCAGACGCGCGTTTCGTCCACAAAAGACTCACCAGTGACGCTCAAAACTAAAAAGTTAAAACGGCTAAATAAAATACGAAGTTGAAGAGCATCGAGGACCCACAATTCCGAAAGGTCTTACCAAAATACAGCTTAACATAAGAACATGTAAAAGGTTAACTATGATTAATCTATATAATAATGTCTGTCTTAAATATGTCAGTGTTCCCCAAAGCATAACAAATATGAAGTCAATAAAAAACAAGTATCTTAATGATGTCAACTTCAGACCCTTTTTTTTTTGAATCAGAATGTTTTGTAAAGTACAATGATTCCCTTTCTAAAACAAGTTATGTGTATATGTTGGCCGCTAATGAGTCTTAAATAGACGAAACAGACAAATGCCATTCCAAATTTTAATCCGGGTATATTTGATGAGTTTTTAAAACCACTGGGTCGATGCCACTGCTGGTGAACGTTTCGTTCAAGAGGGAATCACCAGCCCAATAGTCGACACTTGTGTGTTGACATGATATAAGGGCAGTGTCTGAAGTTCCTTTTCAGGAAGCCAAGCTTGGAGTTTGTTATCTAATAAAAATGTTCAGGATGGGGTACTGCCTCCCCCGAACAGAAATACATGTATATAAAATAGTATTAGATTATTCAATCCATCTTGTACGTGAAGGTTTGTACAGGTTTTGGTTTTGTTAAATCCCTAATAAATATACAAAATCTTTATGTTTAAAGAGTAAAATACGTTGAATGAACAGAATGGCCAGTGCAGCCTTTGTACAAATGTATGCTGCATTGGTATGAATGATTCATAAATCCTTTATTCGTGTGCAGCTATATTATTTAGGGAAACACAATAGCTACCAGGCTCTTCGATTCATGACAAATGCTAGACTAGTAAATAATACATTGAAAAATATATAGAAGAATAAAAAAACACAAAACACAACACTGAAAACTTAAAAAACTTAAAAAAAAAAAAGCAACATGAACCCTTTAAAACTAATTAGGGATGACCTCATGTGCTCTAGAATGGTGAACACTTCAAGAAGCTTACATCCGCTTTATTGAACCTTTGGTGGATAGTTGTCTCATTGTCAATTATACCTCATCTCCTTATTGGTATATAGAAGCACCCATCGTGAAGTTGAAGGCAAGAAAAACTCGGGGATAAGTCGCATGCAGTGATGTCACAATTGAGAAAAAGAGGAGCGGATTGTGGCAACGACAAATAGACAAATGCTTGATAACTTATTGGATTCGTGTAGACACGTTAAAACTTTTTAATTATAACATACCTGTAGCCATCTGCGACACAGACATTCTACAGCTGTCAGCCATATGATGATGACATTCGTAAACCTTTCAAAACGATGACTTCAACTTACATTTGGAATCATGTTTTAATAGTTTCCTTATAATAAACAACTTTACGTACCCTCTGTCAAAGAAATCACAATTCCTTTGTCTTATCATTAAGATGGTGACGTAAACTTTGGTATATATATATATATATATATATATATATACTAAATATACCAGTAAACGATATAAAAGTACAGTAAGATTAATACTTTCCAATGACATTATTATTAGGTAAGTAAAATTGCTACACAAAAGACTTTTTTTGTAGTATTTTAAGGCCATATATGAGATTTTGCCAAATGAACTAAGTCTAATCGGTTCAGATTCATAAAAACAATATAAATCTGCATATAGATTGATAAATATATATTTGTATGCATTGCATTGCATTTAGACGTAAAAGAGGGACGAAAGATACCAGAGGGACAGTCAAACTCATAGATCGAAAACAAACTGACAACGCCATGTCCAAAAATAAAAAGACAAACAGACAAATAATAGTACAGATGACACAACATAGAAAACTAAAGATTTAGCAACACGAACCCCACCAAAAACTGGGGGTGATCTCAGGTGCTCCGGAAGGGTAAGCAGATCCTGCTCCACATGTGGCACCCGTCGTGTTGCTTATGTTATTACAAATCCGGTAAATAGTCTAATTCGGTAAGTCGCATTCGTGAAAAGGGAAGGGTATTGTAGTTACGACATAAGGAACATATCCGATATCATCTGTAAACTGAACCTTTAAATGTTTCCCTTTGTGATTTCTTTGACAGAGGTTTGCTTCTTACTAAGAAGCTATTGAAACTGGTTCCGAATGGCAAATTCAAGTCATCGCTTCAAGAGTTTTACGGACGTTTTCAACCAATGACCAAATGCAAATTTATTTGAACTGAATAAAGAATTATGATTGAAAGTATCGAACAACAGCGCAGTTTTATCTATGATAATTACTGAATTTTAAAGCTAAGAGTTTTGATAAATAAAAATAAATTCTACTGAATTATTCAATTTCCCACAGCCACCGAACTAGACAATTATTTGTTATTTCATATAATGTTTGGATGACAGGATCTGCTACACATTTTTCCTGATTATTTTGCAAATACATTGTTTTGCTTAAAATCTAGTCTTATCGCTACAACCACATTTGGTGCAACCCGCACGATATCACATTCAGCTTTGCCAATATGTTTAAAGATAAAAACTTAAAATTCGACCAATATTGGGTTTCGCACATACATGAATATTTTCTTTTGCATGTGTTCCCAACAACAGATACAAAGTCACATAAGCATGATTAGGTTGACTGACATCTTTCTGCTTATTAGAGCATCTAACATGCTGAGGCAGATATACGTAAGTAAAGTGATACAGCCATAACAGGCGACGCTTACCCTGTCGCTGCACCTTTATTTGTTTTTTCTTGGTCGATTTTCCAGATTTTTATTATGGTAACCTACTGTCGCATTGATTCGTCAGGTTGTAAAGACCTTATAATTCCCTTTAGGCAGTGAGGATGAAGATCCTCATATCTTTGCATAACAACTAAACATGGCCATGTATGGCGAAACCCATGCTATATATAGAGGGGCAATTCGTTTGCCTGTGCAGGATATATAACTTTTGAGGCATCTTTCTGTCCATATCCAACATACCTTCATCTCAAGAGGAAGCCAAAATGTCTGTCCTTAATCCGGATCAATTCATTGCAGAAATTAACCCTTTGATTTGTTATCAATTTGTTCTCGTATTAAATATGCATGAAATATTTGCTATTAAATGCAAAAAAAAAAAAAAAAACACATCAATAACAATCAGACAATATAAAAACATGTTTCTTTTTCTCTGCTTCATTTTACACACTTCTGTTTTAAGTCTAGAATGTCTAAAAACTCATTTGTAAACTTAGTTCTATTACAAGAACAATTTGTCTTTCTGCTAACATGACAAGAATATCATAAAATTACTATCTGAAATACAGAGATGGGTACATACTTATTGTTTTTTCTCTAACAAGAATACAAACTTTCCCAGCTGAAAAAAATAAACTCAATTTTCCCGAACCATAAGTTGCAAGATGTGTTTTGGCCACATGCATATCAATGATAACTATCCTTTTTTTTTATAACAAATTACCTGAAACTGAACAGGTAATTTGTTGAATTGTGCTTCAAAATTTCAGTCATTTTACAAAATGAACTAGGTTTTTATAGTCATTTTATATAATGCCTGTCAAGGTTTGGCATTTTATAAATTGCCGGAAAATTCAGTCATTTTACAAAATGCTTTAATTTAGAAAATGCACGTAAAAAAGGGGCGAAAGATGCCAGAGGGACATTCAAACTTATAAATCGAAACATATATATAACAAAACTTAGTCTTGTAACTTGCGTTTATATTTTTTTAATAATGTCAGCAGTTTAAACGACCTGACCTTTTAGCAAAACTGAAAGATATTTATTCTTTTTTGATATATAAATAATAATTTTACAATGTCACATCACTGCTTGAAAAAAGTACATTTAATTATTTTGACATTGATCGTTTGTTCAATGAATAATAAAATTATTAATGAATTTAAATGAGTTAAAAATTCACCGACTTATCCTCTCAACACTGCTGTGCTAACTAATCATATGTTCATTCATAAAAGTTCTTCCGTTTAATTTTTCATTGAGCAGATATATGAATTTACCAATCTGAACCATTGAACTAATAGTATGTTTGTCGAAACATCATCATGGCCTTGAAATACTACGAAGAATGTGTTTTGTACACCAATTTTACTTACCCAATAATAATGTCATGGGAAATTACTTACCCAATAATAATGTCATGGGAAACTATTAATTTTTATTGTATTTCTATGTACCGTGGTAATCCTAATCCTGGACCTCCTCAAAATAATAGTTCAACTGTTTACCTTTCTATACTCAAAGTTACTATCTGTTATATGCTTCATCCCATCCAAAATACACATTGCGCAATTAAAGAAGAAGATAAATTATTTATAGTGCAATCTGAATTAACATATGCATACCAGTTTACAAAACAGTGAGCCGACCAAATAGGCTTTTGATGCCCTTTCTGGCATGAAAATACGGATATTGTTCTATCTGAATTTGCTGTTATAAATTTTCAGAATCATTTTAAATTAAGGAATGTATCTCCCTCATGCATGGTTCGGCTCCTTGTTTGGGTTTTGCTTTACTTTTGGTCCGGTTTAGTTTAGCAGTTCTTCAACGTTTGTATTACTTTTGGACATTTAAATAGTTTGGCTTTGAACATAACTGAAGATACATTAAAAGAGAGGCGAAAGATACAAAAGGGACATTCAAACTCATAAGTCGAAAATAAACTGACAACGCCATGGCAAAATACGTAAAAAGATCAAAAAACGAACACCAGTTTATAAACACAACATATAGAAAACTAAAGACTGAACAACACGAACCCCATCAAAAACTGGGGGTGATCTCAGGTGCTTCGGAAGGGTAATTGTTGGAATGCGGCATCTGGTGCAATAAAATTGTATCGTTTATGTGATTTTGATAATGTTAGTCTACTCTGAATAATTCAAAATCAGTTTTGAAATCAAATAAATTATTGATATCATTATCATATAGGATAAAGCACTTTAACAAACTGGTGATTATGTTCAGTTTTAAGAAAACCTTTTCCACGATTTGTTTTTTTCCACTATCAAAACATCATTTGTTTGTCTTTTCGTTGTCGCTCGTTTTCTCCATGGTGTAACAGTGCAGTTTTTTCGGTTTTAAATTGTAAACAACATTTTGATATTTCCAAAACTTAGTAGCAACTATTTTGAAAAATAGCCGACTCTCTATATGACTTTATTCATCTCATCTTGATTATTTCTTCTTGCACCTTTAGATTTTCCACATCTCACTTTAAATGTCATGATCGCAATTAAATTCATTTAAAAATCTCTGATTAGATGGGTTTGATATTATTTAAAAAAAAACTCAATGGTGCTCGAATAGATAATGTTATTGTCAATGGCCATCTTAGATTCTTTGATGGCAATTGGAAATATATAGACCACAACAAAAATTAGTCAATAACATTTTGTGTCATTAAAACCCCCAACGATGAATGGGAAATAGAAGTATGGTCACTCGTGGTCTTCTTCCGACCGGCAGTACAACCCTTACTGAAATGGGGCGTCCGTTTGGGTGTGCGGGATGTACAAGTATGCAGCCACGTCCGGTCAGAATGGGGACGTTAAAACCGATGCCTCGTGTAAAAAGAGTGCAACGCTCTTTGCACGTTAAGAACCCTTGCAACAACTCTTTGAGGGGTTCGTAGGTGGCCTGTTGCAAGGCAAAATTTCTGTCCCTATCCAACCTACCATCATTTACAGTTGCAGTCCAAATTTCCCCGACCTTCATCCCGTACGGCCTCTATTACAATCAACAATCAATCAATCAATTGTGTCATTTCACGTTTTTTTTTACATCCATTAAAAAAAAATTGGGGCCGTATTTATTTTTGCGCATATTGATAGTTTGAAACTATATGGCCTATATGAAATTGGAGTGTTACTTCAACATAAATTGTATTAATTGAAAATATACGCAATCGTTTCTTTGTCTGAGTTTAGATCATATTCGTCATCCATCATACGGAATGTATTATTATTCTCAGTAAATGAAAAGCTCATGTGTTATAATGTTTAATTTAGTTTTTTTCTAAGTTTTCGGGTTGTTCGATATTGTATAAACATCAGAAATTTTCTTAAAATATCTATTTGTTGCTTAGTGTTATTTGTTTAAACATTTGCCTTCTTTACAATTGGTGATTCTTTTTTTTTTATCTTTTTTTAATTCGTTTGATGTGTTTGTGCTTTTGATTTTGCCATTTGATTAGGGACTTTCCGTTTTGAATTTTCCTCGGAGTTCAGTATTTTTGTGATTTAACTTTTTGCAACTAAGTCGATGTCACTGATACGATCATTTTCTATAATTTGACTTTTTTTAAAATGTAGAGTTATATTTGAAACACTTAGGTTTTTCTACGGCAGGAATAGATGGCCTTAGTCAGACTTGCATACTTATTTGCAAATTTCGTCATTTCATTGCTCCTCATCATCATTTTTTTTCCTATTTTGCCTTACGGTAGTTTTGATACGGGCACCATTGGTGAATCTTATGTAGCCTAAACGCGATTCTGGCGAAACAAATCATATCTGGCACCTACGATCAATTTTTAGACGACTTATAATGTGGTTTTTATTATGGCATTTTCACACTGTATCACTGAAATTCCCAGACTTTTAAATGCTTCGTAAGAATTATATAATAAAACATTTTGACAGAAAGCATGTGTGAAGTTTTTATATGACAAATTAAAGCCATATAAAATTACGGGTACTTAAAAAAGATAATGAAATTTCACGTGCACGTGCAGATAATTTTCCGTCATTTACTATCTGTTATTCTTTACTAGTTTCAAAACGATCATATTCATAATTACTCAAAAAAATAACTTCTATGCCGTCTACCGTCTGTTCTGTTAATTCACGTCTGCTGTAAAATCTTTATTTAATCAACAGGTAGTAGTCAGGTGTCGAGGTTGAGAAGCCATGTGGCCAACGAGAAATTTTTACCTGTTGAATGATATTGGTAATATCTATTGTTACACTTCACTAGTCTGTAAATAAACTTCATAAAATCTCCCCCACTCTTAAATTAATTCAGTGAACCCAGCAATAAAAGCTATTCAGTTAAGAATTTGATGACATTGAAACTTTATTCATTTCTGCAGCATCAGTTAAGGAGAGAGCTTGTATTTTATTCTTGCAATGAGAAAACGCATGATTCTTTATTAAAAAGAATTACATTTATTTTCTTAGGAAAAAACGGTGATGAAATATAAAAAGCATCATAGTTTTAATATTCAGGTAAGTCACTGTAATTGCAGATATGTTCATATTGTATGTATTTAAATCTCACGCAAATTCTTTCTAAATAGTAAAATATCAATAACCAATTATAAAAATCAACACAAAATGAGTATACTAAGATTGTAATTAATGACAAAAATGTGAATCTGGTGATACATCAAAGGCAGGCCAGATATTTCTGCTGGCAATATTACCCATAGTTAATATTAAACGTATTCTGAATTTCTGGATTTGGCAAAAAAAGAAAAAAAAAGAAATATCAAAGAAGATTATTGCTCCACACAGTCAACAATGATATGTTATTTAAAAACAATGGAGATCTAGTTTATTATTAGTTAACACATTGAAAGAAAGTATAACGAAATATGGTTTGTTTGTTTTTTTAATATTAATTTGGCGTCTCATTTTTTTCATTCTGGCGGCACTTATGAGTTTTAAGTCCTGTATCTTTGCTGATTTTTTATACATATTTCTGCGACATTAGTATCTATGATGAGTTTATTTACAACCACTGGGTCGATGCCACTGCTGGCGGAGTTTTTCTTCCCGAGGGTATCACCAGCCCAGTAGTCAGCACTTCTGTGTTGACATGAATTATCATTGAAATGGTCATAATTATAAATTAACTGTTTACAAAACTTAAAATTTTTCGAAATACCAAAGATTTTCTACCCCAGGCATCGGTTACCTTAGCTGTATTTAGCAAAACTTTAGGAATGTTGGGTCCTCAATGCTCTTCAAATTCGTACTTAATTTGGCCTTTTAAACTTTTTTTATTCGAGCGTCTTTTATTGACGAAACGCTCGTCTGGCGCACACAATTTCAATCCTGATACTTATGATGAGTTTATTTACCTATGTTCAAATCTCATGAATCGACGAGGAATATACAAACCAAGGTTTCAGAATCTAATGCATTCTGAGTAATATTTTCAAAAGTGTACACCAAAACGTCGTGATTGGTTAAAAACGTCATAAACAATGGAAATTCAACCAATGACGTAACGTTATTTTCATTTTGGTGTACAAACAATGAGATTACCCATAGTACTTTAGATTCTGAAATGGCCAATGGAAGGAATTGTATCAAAATTAAAAAGGCAGTACAATTTTTTATTAATTACACGATTATACAAGAAACTATTAAATTAAGGGTTTCAAGTGGAAAACATGAAAACATCCATCCCTTCGAAAACTGTACGGACGCGTTGATGATTTGGTTGATCGTTATGGAATATCTATTTCACAGATGACTACAGATATGTTTCAGTAGTCGTAACCACAATTCTGTCCGCTTTTGACGTCACCGAATTTTTAGTTTCATGAGGAACACGATGAGTGCCACATGTGGAGCAGAATTTGCTAAACCTTCCGGAGTACCTGAGATAAGCCTCGGTATTGATGGGGTTCGTGTTGCTCAATCTTTAGTTTTCGATGTTGTCTCTTGTAGACGGTAATTTGTCTTTTGGTCGTTTTTCGTTTTTTGTCGTGACGTTGTCAGTTTGTCTTTGACCTCCCTTTGTTATCTTCCAATGTATTTATTTATTCGTGAAGATGTATAAAACCTCACTGTCCTATCTTAATTCAAATCTAAAGTGGTTCCCCGGTATTGAGTCGAACCCGAACACAAAGAATATAAACACATCATAGATACCAGGATTAAAATTTCGTACGCCAGACGCGTATTTTATTTAAGACATCCGCGTTTCCTATGAGATAAAATCTCAATTTAAACTAGTAGTAATGAGTGTAAACGTAGCAATTATGACAGGTTTGTGAAGTTAAAGATTATTTATGAAGTATCAAGTTTTTGAAAATTACACCATAAGTATGCTATGGGATTATTCAACATACAGGCGATAATGATGAACACTGATCTGGTTTGTAGATACGTGGTTCAGATATAAAGAGAATTATAATAAAGCAAATTTATTTCCTGTTTGAGGCATTTTATGAGTGCACACAATAACGTTATTAAATACTTTTTGAATACCGTAATGCACTTGTCTTTTTAGGAAACAAATTCAAATAATTTAGCAGAATGAACATTTTAGAATGAATTTTGGACCGATTATTTTTTTTGTTGTCAAAATGCATTTTCAAAAATTTTATCAAAATAACGATATATCGTGAGAGATTTTTTTAAAGTAGTTTTTTCTTTGTCAAAGAAGTAGTGATACTTTGTCACCAAATTGTGAACCTTACTGGCAATCAGTGTGTATTGTTAAGCACGTGTGAATATTAGTTATTGAATTTTGTAAAATTGAACAGGTTTTCATTGACCGGGAATAAAGTGTATGAATACCAATTAATCTACTGCCGTTGAAATATCTTAAATTTTACCTAACAACTAACTTCGAATACTAGTACATGATTTCGTCTTAAGTTTCCAGAGACAAGTTCAGATAACAATGGCCGATTCAATTTCTTCATAAAATTTTTACGTTTCTAGTCTTTGATTTGACAGCTTTAATATGCCACGGTTTTCGCATTATGACTTGATGCATTCTATTTGTTGAAATTTTTAGAAGTGTAACATTAGCCCGAGACTACTAGTATTCGATCAAACTGGATAATTTCGGGGCATAATATTAGAAAATACCTAGGGTTGAATTTATTAAAACAATCGAACGCATGTAATCATTTTCTTATATATATATATATTATAAATAAAACAAGTTTATTGTTTTCTGTTTGATATTAAATTAATATTTAAGATCCATTTTGTTACATCTGGTGATAATTTTATTTGGCAATCGCCAATGGCAGTCAGCTGGGTTTAAGAACATCCGTTGTTCGACCTGCTAGTCAAATGCGTTTTGTTAAAATATACTTTGTCACTTTTTTGGTCTTTTGGAAAATGTTGTTTGTGCTGTATTTAGACCCCTTTATCAAGACATTTGTTTTGCATGCATACGTATAAAAATTGTGGTTTTTATCCAACACAATCATAGGTTTGAACGTTGTTTTCAATTTAGACTTGTTTATTATTAATTAAACCTTTGCTTTGAAGTATTCTGCAGTTTGGTGATAGATTACTGCTGCATAAGTCATAATTAGAATGATTCGATAAATTAATAATAGATTGAAACAAAATTTAGATTTTTGTAAATTATAAATTGCTTTAAGCAAGATGATGCTGTCAATTTTGCCATATACTGCTGGTAAATTTAGCTTTTTATTTTTTTTTCCAAAGTTCTTAATCTGTTAGTAAACATTAATAATAATAGATTGAAACATAATTTAGACTTTTGTAAATTATAAGTTGCTTTAAGCACGATGATGCTGTAAAACTGCTGGTAAATTTAGTTTTTTCAAAATTTTTCCAAAGTTCTTAATCTGTTAGTAAAAATTAATAATATGTAATGTCAAATAGCAATGAGGTTTCCTTCAACTCGAACATTGAGTTTTTATTACATGAACATTTTTCTGTCATCAGCATCCTCTTATGCTATTATGCAAATTTTTTTTACATTTTAGATGAATATACTCAAAGTTATGAATTTCAAATGTAAATCAAAGTCATTGCTATTTTGTAACTGGTAATATTAATATAGAGACACTCAACTGATATAGTGTTTTCTGAATAATAAATAACAAAAGCAATGAATTATTGGATATGATATGCATTGGTACATTTGGTAAAATATCGATTTCAGGGGCTTAAGATAATCATGGTTTTAAATCATGATATTCACTTTTAAATTCCTGGTAATTATTGCAAAAATACTTTAAATGTTATAGACTTAACATGAAGTGATGTTAAATTTTACAAATTTATTCGTATTTATCACAAATTGGCAACAGCATGTGGTATGGAAAAGTAGACATAATTTAACACAACAGTAATTTACTTTAATATCGCAGTATTTGGATTGCATGGCTGGAATTTTTATTCGTTCATCACGTTTTACAAGAATATGTTAGAAGTATAAATAAATCAATTTATAAAAAAAAACAAAACTTAAACATTCAATAAACTTTAAATTTGGCGCGTCCGATGCGACCTTCACGGGGAACGCTAAATACCAAAAACGTTAAAGCTACAAGTAGTTTTTAAATGAAATTCAGGAAAATAGTTTGGTAGCAGACAGCCTTCTACCATATTGTCACTAAAACGTTTTACCTCTTTTCTGATGAGTTCTAAATATAAAGGGAGATAACTCATTTAGTAAGGAATAATGCAGTGGCATAATTTTTTTAGAAATTAATTTCACTAATTTCTAGGTAGCTTCCCCATAACGTTTTTTGATTTTTGATAAAACATGTTTTTGTATTACTTTTTGATAGACACAGCCGCATTCGTTAACTACACTGCAGTATATATTGGCTTTTATATTATGAAAAAACCATCTTTATCCCCTATTTCCATGGTTTCAAACATATATAACCTATATATATATATATATATATATAGTTTGGCATTAATTTTTCTGACCAGGCTATTATGATCTGCATCTCAGGCCATTTTCAGCAAGATTGGTGACTATTTGTGCCTAAAAAGTTTAAGTGGTTACAGAGAATGGATATTAAATACTTGAGAAGCTATATAACCAAAAGGGACAAACAAGAATAGCCAGATCCATCTTAAGATCGACCCTTGCCGGAAGCAGTTGGAACCTTCATTTCATAACGATTTCCACATATCAACAGAAAAGGCAATAAAATACAGCCAATATTTTCGATTGTAACGTGAAATAAAAAAAGATCTCAGCAAAATTATACAAGCAGAAACTAAACAAGGAAAAAATTTTAACCGACAATTGACCCAGTAACAATGGATCGACTGACTTTGAGCAGAACAGTTTTTGTTTTTACTCATTAATGCCATGTACTTAGCAGATAAAGAAGCAGTAAATATACAAATTTTCAAGTCGATCTTTAGTTTGAATCAGTCGGTGGACAAACCCACGACCCCCGAACTCGATGCAAACATGCTACACCTTTTTTGTTGTTAGGGATGTATAAATACCCTGCCACGTTCGGTCTTTGCTTTTGTTAGATATTTTTCTGCTTTGTATCGATCTGATAATTTAAGAACTTTTCAACTGATTTTTATAGTTTGTTCTTATGTTGTGCTGTAACACCACTGTCCTAGGTTATGGGGAGGGTTGAGCGCTTGCAAACATGTTTAACCCCGCCACATTCTTTATGTGCCTGTCCCAAGTCAGGAGCCTGTAGTACAGTGGTTGTCGTTGGTTCATGTCTGTCATATTTGTTTTTCGCAAATTGTTTTGTTATAAGTTAAGCCATTAGTTTTCTCAATTGAATTGTTTCATATTTATCATGTTAGGGCATTTTATAGCCGACTATACGGTATGTTTTTTTCTCATTGTTGAAGGCCGTACGGTTGCCTGTTATTGCTTACATCCACTTCAGTTTAACTTTGGGTAATAGTTGTCTTCTTATTTTTATATTACCTACAGATTACTATGGCGGTTTTAGTAATAATTCAATGCATTACAGGAGTAAAATAACGCGAATACATGGTGGAAAATAAACCAAAAAAAACATACTGTCCTCAACATCGAATACTTGAATAGTTAATATTTGCGATAGCTGATTAAGATTTTTTTTAAATGTTTGGACTGCCTGAACAGACGTTAAATATCTATAAATAAAACAAATCAATATGTACAGTGCTATGTATCCTATGCTATAAATTTTAAAGGACGAATAAACAAAAACATTCGGAGTAAAAGAAAGTAGGAAAAATTTCGAAGTATTCCTTTTAAATTAATCACGCAGAATTGCTTATCTAATTTAATTAGCTTAAAGCATTTCATTAATGTCACTTTACTGATTAATATGTAAAATATGCAGTTTATTATGTATTTACATGAAAAGTTGTCGGACACAAAATACTAATAAAAATCATTCTCATTTTCATGTGCAACTTAATCGCATGTTCCATGTCAACGATTTCCGGTGAAAAGAAGTCATATTGTTGACAAAGACTGCACATCTATTTAAAGAGTGATCTATTAAAATCGAATTTGCTTTCATTATTCTGTATATCATTGAAAAATTATTTAATTAAATTGCAAATTTGGTGTCACATAGTCGTGTGAAGTTTCATGTCACGAATTAAAGTATCTTTTTTTTATGAACTTTTTTTTCTCTAATCATTCGATGTCACGTTAGTGACCGATAATAGATGCGAAAATTGCCCACAGCAATCAATTAACGCAGGTATCCTATAGTTACTTGAATCAACGTCATTTTAGCTGTGTTAAATAGTTGTCTCATTGGAACTAACCAAAACACAACCAAACGGACGAACCTCTTTAGCCTGGGGTTTACTGCCGGAGAGGACAAGTCAAGGTGTGACCATGTTTCTATATTTCAGGCAACCTTTGTGTTTTCTTAAGTTTTTAACATTTCTTTGTAAATTTCTCGATCATTTTGTAGCTCATGCGATTCCCACATTTTTGTTTGTTACGCTGATTTGTCTTTTTAAATCGATATACGAGATTTGAACAGCAAGTTGTATACTATACTGTCGCCTTAATTTATTGTCATCACACATTGTTAATTAATGGAAGATTTATAGAGTGCGGTTGCCAAACCAACACATGATAACACTTTACCTGATTAATTTATCCTGTAAATGACGTGTTTGGTCGATAACACAACCAATAAAGTCATGTCTTCCTTGTGCTTTACTTGGTAGAAATTAAAGTTTTTGTGCATAGCGCTTATTTGTTAAGATATCTTAACCCCACACTGTTTGGTCACGTTTTCCTCTGAAGTGTGCATACAATGAATGGTTTTACACTAGTAATTTTTGGGGCCCTTTATAGCTTACTGTTCGGTGCCAAGGCTCCGTGTTGAAGGCCGTACCTTGACCTATAATGGTTTACTTTTATAAATTTTGACTTGGATGGAGAGTTGTCTCATTGGCACTCATACCACATCTTCTTATATCTATATACAACATTACTTTTGTTAAATGTCTATCAATAAAAGTAATGTTTTCTGCTCTTTGGCCGGGTTGTTGTCCCTTTGACACATTCCCCGTTTCCATTCTCAATTTTATTGATAGATTTTGTATGTTCTCTTCTGTTTTGGTTATTGCACCATATTAACGGAGACGAGTGAAAAGTAAAACCACAAAAATACTGAACTCCGAGGAAAATTCAATCGGAAAGTCCCTAATCACATGGCAAAATCAAATGACAAAACACATCAAACGAATGGACAACAACTGTCATATTCCTGACTTGGTACAGGCATTTTCAAATGTAGAAAATGGTGGATTGAACCTGGTTTTATAGCGCTAAACCTCTCACTTGTACGACAGTCTTATCAAATTCCGATTCCAGTGAAAGATCAGGGTTTTATCAAGATGGAAATCATGCTCACAATTAGTGAAAGAGATCGTAGGTTTCACCACCTTCCATGTCAAACTCTATTCAGTTAAAATTGTAAGTGATGCTTCTCAGCAAGGTATGCAACAGTTATAAATAAGAGGTAATAGCAAGTATTGGTCGGATCGCAACCATGAATAACGTGTCGGGGTATAGTGTCATGTTTTCTAGCAAATCGTTACCTTACAACCGTTCAAATAAAATTGAATGCAGTGTATATTCATATAAGATGTCGTTCTGACCATGTTATATTTGTAGCATGGCGTCTTTACTTTTATCATATCGCGGCGCATAAATTATGACTAAATCGAAAGCAAAATTAATTTGAAATCAAGACATTGACATTAATTGTAAATAATCTAAATAACTACTATAATTTATTTATATTAAGTAGTAAATAAGGATAACCTTTCACCTTTTGTTTTCAGTTGAAATGGAAATGAAAATGTTTTTCTAGTTTTTCAATTAAAGATATATATATATTTGTATTTTAAATTTATTATTTTTGCAGACAGGAGACGACTTGGAGCCACTTTTTATCCTCGACAAAGAAAGCTTTCCAATGCATATCAAATATATAAACATCCACGTGCCACATAATATTGTAACAGAAAGGAATAAACGAAGACAAAATATACTGTGTGTATGTGGTTTCATGGTGACCTTGGTTATTGCAATTTCTATAACTATCAGCGTTGTTATGCAGAACACCAACAATCACCAATCGCAACTTCTGACTGATATTTCAGAGGTAGGTCTTTTTGTTAAAATTAAGATTTTCTATATTTTGGTTAAGTCGAAATATCATTTCTAACGCTTATATTTAATTCATAGTCTTAGAAAGGGACACGTATATACATTCTTAACCTTAACATAGTGTCCAGATCTTTAACTGAGATACAAGAAAAAAAAACTCTTTCAACGTTTGAAGATATTTTTTTTATAATAAGACTTTGTGTGTCCGAAGTGCTTTTCTGAATTTTCCTTCACCAGGAACGCTTTAAGCTAAACATTTGAAAGCCAGGAATGTATGTGACGAGCTATATGGCAAAAAATGACATGACAGTAATAGTCAAATCGTTCTAAGGTTAACTTTGCCTGAGGGAGCGGGAACCCTTAGTTTCTTAATTATTACTAAACGTATGAACTGAGAATTTAAGAAAGTTATAAATTATGTCAGTACTGGGCCACAGAACTGAGCAAATGATATACTCGGGAACTAGTAGTCAACCAACAGCGATATCGATTGAAAATGAAAATAATAGCCTGTTATATTTGATGACTTCCAACATTGGTAAACTACTTTTGCCTTTATTTAGTAGAATTATTTTTGTAAAGCGAAATTTAATGTTGCCTTTATATAACACATGCACATATCTGAAGGTCTGGATGGTAAGTCCATCAAATTCTGTATTCTTATTCTTTTAGGCCATTTTTCTCTATTCTTTATATGATTTGCCCATTGTTCTCTACTCTTTATATCTAAGCACCCCATTACCCTCTTTCCTTTCTTTTATGTTCCTTTTTTCTCTATTTTTCTGGTTTTCGCCCATTATTCTGTATTCTGTAATACCCAAATAGACTCTCATGCCTTTGAAACAAATTAGGTGATGTCTTGCAGTTTGCTAAAGATTAAAACTATTTAATCTCATTTATTTATTTTTTGCCATTTTTTAATTCACAAATATAGGTCGTATTGAAATTTTTCAAATTTTATTTCATTACTGCATCATTGTACTTTTAATATGTTCAAATGTACTGCAATTTAAGTTAAATATGTTGAACTAACTGTCTTTTCATACATATTTTTGTAATATAACATATAATATTAAAAGGGGTAATGATTATACATTACTATACATGAATATGGTGCTTCAAGAATAAAACAATGAGGTAGTGTGATGGTTATACATGAGTGAAAATGATGGCCAAAAATTTACAAAACCATAAATTTTAGAATTTTGCCATTTTTAATCATGTTTTTCCTTCTTATAATTTTTTAAGGATAACTCAAATTTTGCTAAAATCTATCAAAATCGAAGTTTTGCAATACCATAAGGCATTTATATTTTTTTTGGCAAAAATTAGATAAAACCTGAACGTATACACGTAAAAATATATGCTATCGTAAGGGAGTAGGCCCAGTAAGACCCCTTTTTGGCCCCAAAATATAGAAGTTTTACAAAATTGTTAAAATGTAAATGTTTAGCTATTTATTGGAAAGAAGAATACTTCTGTTACATAAATGTGGGCTGTTTTTTGACAATTCAATGCACATGTATCGGGTACTAGCATCATTAAGTCATGCTAAATTACTAAAATCTTCGAAATTTTAGCATTTTGGTTAATTTTTCGACGGTTTCCGTCTAAAATGGAAGTGGCCGCATTTGTGTTCATTCTTAATATTTAAATGTAAGTTGTATTTGCTGATAATACATAACATATATAAAGGTTGAGAATGAACACGGATGCGGCCACTTTCATTTTTGACAAAAACCATCTGAAAAGTGACATATTATGGCATATTTGATAGATTTTTCATATTTAAGCTTGAAATTGAGCGTCTTTAATGACTAAATCAGTTCAAATCTTTCACATAAACTAATTGAATCGACTGAAGTAGACACTTAAGCGTTTAAAAAGTGTCCAAAATCTTTCATCAGATGAACCTGAATTTTGAGGCCAAAATCGGCCCTTACCGGACCTGCTCTGGTGTCAAACAAATCATGGGAAATACCGACTGGTCAATTTTTTGCACTGTAATAGAAAAGTATTTGAATATCAGCAACGTAAGTAAAAATATTTCAATTAAATTTTCAGACGTTCCCAGTGGCATTGTTGAACGGTCTGTTAAAAGTGGATGTATTTTGATCACTTTCTTTACAATAACGTACTCCATTCTTCTTTATCATTGTTTTTCAATTATCAGATTATTTTTTACTATTTTCAGCAAAATAATGAAACAGCTCAGATTTCAAACAATACAATCAACAGAAGAAGATATATTTCAAAAGGTACATTGGCATCTTAAATTTTCAATGAACAATGGCACGGCTTTAAGGAAGTTCGCTACTCAGTTTCAAAATAACAAGCTTTTCATAACACTAGTATATATTGATAGGGGATTAATAAAGGATACAAAAGAGCGAAAAAAAAATATAGGTCCGTGTGCTTGTTTTCGAGATATAAGCCATTGAAATTTTGGCGCGAAAATGTTCTCTCTTGATTTTTCATAGCTTTATCATGGACAACTTTAAGTTCTCAAAAACTATTAAAAAATAACAAAGATTTTATAAGAATTTGACAGATGACTTATAATTATACATGTTAAAGATTTATAAAAAGAAAAATGGGGGTTAATGGGCAAAACTTTTTAAGGCATTCAAATGTATAAAACCAGAGAATTCCGAAAATCTGACAAAAATTCCAAATCATGACAAGCGAACATCCTTAATGTTCCAAGTACTATAATTGTTCTGACTAGCTTAGCAATCGCGATGAAGTAGTCAGCAGTATGAGGCCTTAATTGAATTACAATATACAAAGTCCTTTTTATTCATTTTAGAGGTCACTCTTACAAGCGCATTTTTTGAAGGATCAAACCATCAAATCATCAAAAACTACAGAGGATTCAGAAAAAAAAGAATCCAACTAAAACGTTGTCTTTGTTTCTTAATGAATGCGATTTCTACTTTTTCTGCCAGAATCTAAATTTATAAAATATAATTTTAACATTATTATCCTAATTTATTTTACATTACATCAACATCGCTAAAGTTAACTTAGCCTTATAAACATTATAATGTTCTTAGTATAAATCGCCATCACGAGGTGATTGAACGTTATCTGTTTCACAGATGACGACGAATATTTTCCAATTGTCGGAACCACAATCCCGTCCTCTTTTCGTCAAATGTGACATCACCAAATTTGAACTTACATGATCAACACCACGAGTGCCACATGTAGAACAGGATCTGCTCATCCTTCCGGAGCACCTGAGATCATCCGCAGTTTTTGGTGGTGTCAGTCTTTAGATTTTCAATATTGTGTTTTGTAGACTGTCTGTTCGTTGTTCGTCGTGATTGCTATGGCGTTGTTTACATCTCCGGAAATCCACGAATCTGACAATTCTTTGGTGTCTTATGGTCGTTGGTAAAAAAAACATCTATTTGTCAATCAGGCCTATTAAATCAAATATAACAATAATTTAACTTTCTTTATATCAAATAATAATGCTGTGTTTTTTTCAGGTGCTGTCAATTTTCTTCATTCGTTAAAAGAGTTTATCCCATGCCATAACACATGTAGGAAATATTCGGCATTTCGATTCAAATCGACATGTGAAAATGGAAGATGTAAATGTCGAAATCCGTTTTACGATACCAATACCTGTTTACGTAAGTAATTTAAACAATATGATTAAGAAAAATAATCACAGTTTACCAAGCTACTCCCTAACATGATAACAATGCAATGTTGGATACATTGGATGGGATAGGATTAATGGATAAATAGGGAAAAGACTTGGTAAATAAGAGATAAATAAATAATAGAAAGTTGGATTGGGTATTTGAGAACATAAGGAAATATATCAAATAAAAACAAATACACTCTCTCAGCACCCTTCATGAAATACCTGGACAATTTTCAATTTTTTTTTGTTTAACTGATTTAGACAGTTGAGGCCAAATAATCCAAACCAAAAACATGTTATATAAATAGACCAATACATATTTTCTCCTAAAATGCATTTTTCTTCCACAATCAATGTGTGCTCATGCTACGTTTGCGCCAATACAAATGTTAAAATATGGGTTAATGATGGCGTTATTTGATGACGCACACTGGCGCAACTGATTCAATCAGTTAAATTAACATTTGCAAAAATAATACCGTTACAAAACTATAATCGTTAGAAATGGATTCTAGCGGAAAAATGTAGGCCACGTAGATGCATTAACTAGATATACCCATGATCTCAAAAGTACGATTTGGTATATCCAATTTACAGGAAGAAAGTATGGTAAATGCAAAAGGAGATATATCAGTTTTTTTGGAGGAAGTCTTTCAGAAATTTGGTCTTATATTATGGTAAAACCTGATATCAAATTACATAAAATAACATCTTAGTGTAAAAAATTAATAAAAATAACTTAAAGGAAAAAACTTGTGCAGACATTAATTTGTGTAATAATTTTTTCAGGAATTATATTCACAAGTTAAGCGAGGACCTTTACAAATAGTTTTCTTTCTATTTTAACACTAAACTGCATTTCTTAACACAATTAAAAATGTGAATATTGTATAAAAAGTATTGTAACATATTTTTTAAATCCAAAAAGTATAAACAAATTAAATCTCTGTAATTAAAGACAAACACCATGTCTTTTTTTCGGCATTGACAAATATAACTGATTTTTTTGGCGTCAAATTACATATATCACAGTAATAAATGCATTTCAGAGATTACATAATCGTTCATTAAAACGCAGCGTGTGATATGAACTCCTGTGAAACATCGAGCATTTAATATTCTGATGGAATTAATATAAGTGATTAATTGATACTAACCTTAAAATAAATCTGTTTACCACTTATTGTGCTATGATCATAAAACAGTAGGTACAAAAATAAATTCTAAGGAAAAATAGCATGCCATGTTTTGATAGCCTTGCATGTTTGTTTTCTTTTAAATATAGAATAAAATGTAGAATAATGTTTTAATTTGATTTCTTTAATTCAAAGATAAATGTTGAATTAATGTTTATAGAATTGCACTTATTTGTTGAATTTCTATTTTTATAAATTTATAATTCAAATTACAAATTACTCATTGATATGGATCAAAATAATGTTTTTACGTAAATTATCGACAATGATTTTATTTCGTGGTGTTGATCTTATTACGTATTACGTTTTTGATCTGTCATACATTAAAAATGATTTAACTTTGAAAAAAGTGGCAAAAGAAAATTTGTTCATGAAAGCAAAAGGTTTAACTGGTTTTAGAATGTATGAGAGTCACCCAGCGTGTAATAATTTTTTTCTATTTTTCTAATTTTACTCAAAAATGGCATATGTGCAACCGATATATTCGGCGTGTTTTTTTTTATATTCATAACAATCTGTACATTATGTGTTTGAAAATTCACATAAACCGTAAAAACTAACAGCAAGTTTTTTCCCCCCATTTATTAAAGTTGAAATTGTATGCCTAAGTGAATTGCCACGAAAAAATGTATCTATCTGGCCTTTTAAACACAGGTATCATTTACTTGATTTCACATACAACATACTTATATAAGTACCGTTAAAGAAAAATGAAGTCATATAATGTTTAGAAATAAATGTAAAGCTGAAAAATGGTTACTATTTAATTAAACATCCGAGCATGCGAGTAATTGTAAATTGCATTCAGAATATGAATATAATAAGATTTAGGGGTTTACATATACTAATATCGTATAATAAAAAAGAATTGGCAATCATATTATTAGGTCTTTCCACTTTTTTCGTGGAAAGACTTTTTGCTTTTGTTCTGATTATCATTTTTAATTTTTTTTTTCTAGCGAGGTATTGTTGTTTTAAAAGATTTCGCTTAGATATTTGTTATATGATATCGATATACGCTTTTAAAACTGACACTGTTTTACCAAACACTTTACTTTGTAAGAGTTATCTCCCCGAACACTGTTTTTCTTGTCATACTACTCCTTTGCAACCGTAAACGATTACGACAACTTTATTTTACCAAGTTGCTCGTTATATCCTAAGGATAATTATGGAGAATAATTTTGACCGAAGAGATCCAGAGACTCCATATGAGAGTTATTTCCCCTTATGCATTTGATATAAGTAACTGGTAAACCATATGTGATAGAGACCTATGGCCTTTTGATTTGGGGTCCTTGGTCCACCAAAAAGAAAGGAAGGTCAAGGTCAAATGTCAAGGTCATGTTTAAAATTTAGATTTTTGCTTAATTTCCCTTTTCATAAGAAACCGTAGTAGATGGCGACAAATTATTTTTACTAAATTGTTAGCTATGATATGTCGTAAAACATTTACGTCTTGGTTGAAAGGGCATGTTGACATTTAATGGGAGTCTTCTCCCCTTTTTTTATTTAGAATTAGCTGTATGTTGATATAACTGATTAAAAATATATAGTAGAGACCTTGGGTGTTTTGATTTGAGGTCATTGCTTTATGACCTTGAAATTGAAGTCAAGGTCAAAGTTAAATTTGACGTTCTAGATTTTGACATTTTAAACCGAAAGTGAATTTTTTTCTATCAAAATATGTGCATTTGCGGTGGAAAGACCTTCAATAGATCTCTGAACAATTGGCTTTTAATTATATAATTCGATTTCAGTTTATAAAATCTATATATCATTTGTTTTACAGCGGTTGTAAAAGGGTGTGCTATTTATAAAACCAAGAGACTAACAAAGCATATTCTAAACGAAAAAAGATCTACTTTTAGTTGTTACACAGACAGAGACATTAACAATCCGGACTCTGAAATACACGTCGTAAGCATGTACGGTCAGACTGGACAAGAAAAATCTTTTCTTCAATTGAACCTGGCAAATAAGTCAAGGAGAAAAGATATAATACTAGTTTTAGCTAATTTTCTGAAAACGGAATGGATTTTACATGCTTCAGATATGGTGAAGACAAGAAAAGTTTATATTGTAAGTTTTATTTATATATACAAAGAAAACATTGTTTTATGTTTATATATTTATCATATACTTAGAGTAAATAACTTATAATTTTTACAGTATGATAATAGCATTAAATTAACGTGAATTCCATAATTTCCGAAATGGTGCTTAGCGGGCTGATATGAAAAAATTATCAACTGCTTCCGGCTATTATAGCATACCTTTCCGTAACGTTATCGCATGGCATTCCGACGTTACTAAGCCAATTGCGGAAAATACACCTCAATTGTAAGTTTTCAGTGAAAACACATAACAAAGTAGGATACAAAACAGATAGTAGGAAATAGGAAATATATTATGTAAAATGCAAAACATGATACAATAAATGCATTTTTCAAAGTTTGCAGCATAAATTAGCAAGTTACTTTACAAATGTTGATTTTTCCAAACAGTGTTCATTATGTTGTTATTTTTTTTTTTATCGTCAATATAAAAATATATTATACTGTTGTTTTTCTCCTCTGTTGAGGCATATGATAGAAAGATTTTATATCGGATGTATCACATTTGGCGTCCGTCGTTCGTAAACTTTTCACTTTTTGAACTTGTATTTGAGAACAACATAAAATGATCAATATATTTAACTACTATTTTTCTCCATTGTTGAAGCATATGATAAAAAGATCATAACATGTCATTTTTCATATCAAATGTATTATCAGTCCTCGAGCCTTCGGCTCTTGGGCTGATATTGAACTTTGGGCTGATAATACATCTGATATGAAAAATGCCATGTAATAATAATCTGATAATATAAAATTGCAAAAAGACTTAATTAAAATAATTAAAGGGGAACAACAATTCACCGTATATACCAGAACTAATGACGTTCAATACTTTCAAAGTCTGTCACAATAGGACTTTGTTAAACTACCAACCTAACATATTTCCTTGCCTGCGTCAAGACTTAGATATATATTTTCTTGTTGTATCGGTTGGTTTGTATAGAATAAAAAATAAGAAGATGTGGTATGATTGTCAATGAGACAACTCTACACCAGAGACCAAATGATATAGGAGTTAACAACTATAGATCACTGTGCGGCCCTCAACAATGAGCAAAAAACCCATACCGCATAGTCAGCTATGAAAAGCCCCGAAATGACAAATGTAAAACAATTCAAACGAGAAAACTAACGGCCTGGTATATGTACACGGTGCAAAACAATGAACAAAACACAAACATGATATACAGCAAAAACAACAACCACTGAATTACAGGCTCCTGATTTGGGACAGACACATACAAAATGTGCCCCTGATTCAATCTTTTACTATCTATCTATTGTCTGTATGACTTCATTAAACTCGACGTATAAGTAAAAAATCAAGGTTATTGATTGATTGATGATTGCTCAACGTCAAACGGACGAGTATTCTCTGTTTGATACACAAGATAATTTCATATGCATGTACCATGCTATGTACTAGAACTACATATAGGTAGCAATCCATATGTCACTCTACTTAGATTTCGACTCAGAGCCCACCAGTCTTAAATAATGCATGCTTAGCAGTGAACAGTAAACACCAATTTAAAGTGAACAGAAAACACCCAGTTTTATAAAAGTTACCAACCCGACGTTTTTTTAACTAAAAAAAAACCATGAGTGTTTACGTTCTTAAAAGACTGAACAAACATCATAAACTTAGAATAATAAATATCATCAGGTTATATTTATCTCAGCGTTTGAGATGTAAATACATACCCAAGAAGATTTCTACTGAACACATTATCAATTAAAACGATGATTCATGCATAAAGTAATTTTATATATGAATATGTTTTAATCTTAATACGGAAAAACGACATATTACTCATAATTTGTTTGCACAAGACTTCACTGAGGACGAAGAAACTTAAATATCATTGCTATATAATAATTAAAATAATAATAATGATAGTTAATATAATGTATAAGAAAGACTTTTATCTATTGTAAAATAGTTCTGCTTTTATTTTCAGATATCAAATAAGTATTTAGAGGAATCAAACATCAGTATGAAGCAATTCAACAGCAGTATTAATGTGACTAAACTTTACTCACGAGTAGGATATGGTGATGATCGATATAATGGTTATACTATAGATTTGTTACAGACTATCAACTCAAATATTGGACAAATAACATCTTTTCAGGGTGCAAAGTATTTATCAAAATGGAAAATAAATCTATGACTTCTTATACATTTAAAGTTGCATTTATTAAAAAAATAAAATACCTCATCGCTTTACATTGGCTGATTAGTATGTATTTGATCATGATTATAAATTATTGTATCTTTCACAGTTGTAGATTGATATTAAACCTGTATCGTTACCACTAGCCCTTGCAGTTATAACCAACTAGCAAGAATGGGAAATATAAATTCGGGTTGTTGTCTCTTTGACACATTCCCCATTTCCATTCTCAATTTTATGATAAACTAATGTCCGTATTACTATGTCGTAGTTCTCCTCTTATATTTGATGTGTTTCCCTCAGTTTTAGTTTGTAACCCGGATTTGTTTTTTTTTTCTCAATCGATTTATGAATTTCGAACAGCGGTATACTAGTCTTGCCTTTATTTACAATGGATATTCTACGGATTATCTCTGTAAACACCATACTTCTGACACATACACTTTGCAAATGAAAACGGTGAACACTTTTTTACAATTATACCGAACTCCAAGATAAATCCAAAAGGCAAAAGTCCATAAAACCTGACAAAACCAAACGATTATATCAGCCAACTGAGCGACTGGTAGATTGAACCAGGATTTACTATTCATGAAATATTTTAATGACAGCTCTCTTCAGCTCCAATTAATTACGACTAGATTATTTCTTATTTGACACTCGCTTAATTCCTTAAAGGATATATATCTAACGTTTACTATATTTGCTGATAATTTGTGTAATCGCTTATATAGAAATAAGGAGTTATTATTTTTAATGACAGCTCTCTTCAGCTCCAATAAATTACGACCAGATTTTTTTTTATTTGACACTCGCTTAATTCCTAAAAGGATACATATAGCTGACGTTTACTGTATATGCTGATAATTTGTGTAATCACTTATATAAAAATAAGGAGATGTGGTATGAATGCCAATGAGAGAACTATCCACCAGAGTTCAAATCAAGAAGATAAAAGCAATTATATGTCCATGTACAGCCTTCAATAATGAAAAACCATGCCGTATAGTCAGCTTTAAAAAAAAATGACATGAAAAATAATTCAAACGAGAAAACTTACGGCCTAATATATAGAATACAATTTACGAAAAAACAAAGAAAGTACGGTAAGGTCTAATTTTGGCCTAAAATTCGGAGTACATATGATAAAAGATTTTTTACATTTTTTAAACACTTGCGTGCCTACTTCAGTCGATTCAATTATTTTATGTGAAAGATTTGAACTGATTTGGTCATAAAAGACGCTCAAATTCAAGCTTAAATATAAAAAAATATATCACATATGCCACAAAACGTCACTTTTCAGATGGTTTTTGTCTAAAATGGAAGTGATCGCATTTGTGTTCAGGGTCAACCTTTATACATGTTATGTATTATCATCAAATACAACATATATATAAATATAAAGACTGAACACAAGTGCGGCCACTTAAATTTTAGACAAAAACGGTCTAAAACTAGCGCAAATGTTAAAATTGTGAAAACTTCAGTAATTTTGCACGAATTAATGATGCTAGTACCTGAAGCATATGCATTGTATTGTAAAAAAACAGCTCATATTTATGTAACAGAAGTATCCTACTTTCCAATAAATGGATAACAGTTTACATTTTAACAAAATTTTAAAATGCTATATTTTGGGGCCAAAAAGGGGTCTTACCGGGCCTACTCCTTTGACAGACATGAACCAACGAGTCGACAACCATCGAATTACATGCTTCTGACTTGGGACCGGCACATAAAGAATGTGACGGGGTTAAAACTGCTTGTGAGCACTCGCCCCCTAATCTTGGGCAGCGGTGTAATAACAAAATATAAGAACAAACTCTTAAACAACAGCGTACTTTTCCTGTTGTTCGCGTGGTAGCTATTAAGTTTTACGGTGGCATTGAACTGCACAGTGCACATTCTGCATTGTTTTGTTATATTTTCAAAGGTTCCGTGTTACTTTCTATCCTCCAATCAATATTGAATGTGTTGTAAATCTTTTGATATAGTAAGGAGATTATTCTGTCATAGTGTTATAATACGATGACATCTTTTAAAAACGTCAATATTGAAAACAGTATTGAAGTACCTGGTGCAACGAGAAAGATTAAAAGTTGACCCATCAACGAAATGAGATTTAAATGTGAAGTTTTGGTCATTTAACTGTTTTAATTCACCACATTTTCTCTTTAAAAGTGTCAATACTAACACATGACTGCCGTATTAATTGATAAAATTATATTTTCATTTGTTAAAGTAATTTTAGAATTTTCAATTCTTGTGGTTTGCTAGTAAATAATAAGAGTAATTTACCGGTCACGGATTAAGTATTTTATTGAATTATATGTAGATAACATTAGATGAACTCTTTGTAATGAAGATAAAATTGAGAATGGAAACGGGGAATGAGTCAAAGAGGCAAAACCCGACTAAAGAACAGAAAACAGCCCAAGGCCACCAATGGGTCTTCAACACAGCGAGAAAATCCCGCACCCGGAGGCGGACTTCAGCTGGCTCCTAAACAAAAATGTGAACTAGTTCAGAGAAAATGGACGTCACACTTAACTCCAAAACATATAAATGAACCAAAATTAAAAAAACATACAAGACTAAGAAAGGCCAGAGGTTCCTGACTTGGGACAGGCGCGAAAATGCGACGGGGTTAAACATGTTTTGTGAAATCTCAACCCTCCCCCTATACCTCTAGCCAATGAAGAATAAACAAACACAAAGCAATACGCACAGTAAAACTCAGTTTAAAAGAAGACCGAGTCCGATGTTAGAATAGGTAACAGAAGAAACTAATCAAAATGACAATGATACATAAGCTATCAAAGGACTACTAGCATTTACTTACATGCCAGCTCCAGACCCCAACTAAACTGATTGAAAGATTATGTCTTCATCATATGAAAATCAAGCACAATCCCTCCCGTTAGGGATTTAGTATCATGCCATCATAAAATATACGAGAGGAACATAACCCGTATCATGTCAACAGCTGGTTTTAGAATAAATGTGTTTATTTCCGATGCAAAGACCCTATGAGTGAATTAATAATAATTTTTAAAAATGCCATCTTAAATGAGCTGACAACAGTATCGTAAGACCTCCAAATTGCATGCTGGTATTTTTGTTTTCTGGAACACTTTATTTGAGCAAATTGTATCATATGAAAAAAGTAGAGAAACGCGTGTTGTACGAACTTCCGTCAACTACTCATAGCTTGAAATAGAAGTACAAATTTAAAATCTAATTAAAAAACATAGTGGAGTAAATTGTGTGCATGAGGATGTGTGTAGGTATGATTTTTATGGATAATTATCACATTACGACGATACTTGAAGCCAACATATTGTATTTTGCATTTCTAATGAAGTAACATAACATTTGACATATCTTAATTCGCAGCAAAACAAAAAGTGATATTACAACTGACACACGATGGAAAAAACCTTAGTTTTTGTCATGACTTTTTATAATTCCAGATCAGCTCAATTTGTTTCTGGTAATGGTAAAGCCCTTTCTTTATAGTGATGTTGACGATACCGGTTCTCGTTCCTTTTGAAGTTCCTCAGTTTTCTCTCTCGCGTGGTGTGTACACTACGATAGTATTCAAAATGGATATACGAGATTTGAACATCGGTAAACTACGGTTGACTCTGATTTCCATATTAATGTAAAACTTACTGCTACTAGTAACTGGTGGTTATCAAATGGTACAGATTTTGTTGTGCAACATTCTAATATACAACAATCATAATGAGAATTTCCATCTCTTCTTAGCGTCCGTTGTAGACTGTCTTAACTTTTTCTGGGACCAAATTACCACGGGAGGCTCTTGAATTGCATTTCCTGTTTTTAAAATTCAGATTTGTAGAATTGTAATTTTAGTTTGTAGCATAAAATTGTTTTTTATTTGTTACTTACAATTGTACCTGACAGTTTTGAATTCTAAATGTAATTAAAATTTAAGGACGATGGATAAACTAGACTTCTATCGGTAAATACTACATATACACTGAAACATAAAATAGCACAAAATGCAACACTGAAAACAAAAGCAAAACGAAACCCTTTAAAACATTAAATGGAGAATGTGTTCATTGGAGCTCCTGCTTGCATATAACGTTATAAAGGAACATAACTCAAGAACGGTAAAAGTGACGCAACCCAAATTCGAACTTGATCTGTGTTTTGTGGTAATAAGCATTAAGTATGAGTTTCATAACATTTGGTGGAGGGAAACTAAAGTTAGAGAACAGAAACTAATTTTGGGACGTACGGACGGACCAAGATAACACTAAATGCCCCCTCCGCCGCGGCGGAGGCATAAAAGTTGGGGCGAACTCAGATGCTCTGGAAGGTAGCAGTTCTTGCTCCACGCGTGGCAACCACCGTGTTGCTCATGTAAGTACAAATCCGGTGATAATTCGCTTCGGTAATTTCACAAAGTCGCCGCCGAGATAAAGAGGACCGGGATAACGTAAAGATTAAAAATGACACTCCGTAAATTTTATGGTCACCATCACGAATTGATTGATCTATACGATGTGTCTGTGTCTTAACTAACAAACGACATTTTTACCACGTCTTAGATTGTGGTTTACTATCTACGTTGTCTGGTCTGCTAAGTACCGAACCCGACCTATTCCCGAATATGACTGTTTTCCCGAGTGTGAATTTTCATTGCTATTAGACGTGTCTCGGTATTTATACATCCAACATTCATGTATTCAGTTATGTTTGTAATTCTGGTTGGATATTGTGTTATGTCTTATCGTTTGTGGTTTGAACTCTCTTTTTTCATTTTCTATATGTATGTTAAAGTTAAGATAATTAATCAGCTAGTTCATTTATATGATTTTGAATTTAAAGCTACTATATGCACAGGATTTATTTGTTTTTACTCAATTTTGATTTAGAAGAAACACCGACATGGTTAGAAAATACAAATAATTTCACCATTACTAACACAATTCTATATTAATATTCTTGTAATGGTTAGAAAATGCATAAAATAACACCATTACAAACTTAATCCCAATGTTATATTCTACTATAAGAAATTTACATGTGACGTCACTTTTTGTGGCGTTGATGCATTCGTGTGACGCACAGTTCATAATTCATCGTGATGTACTTGGGAGG